GACTCAATATTTTATTTCTCAGAATTCTTTTCCAAGTGTTACACAGATGTTCTAATGTAACTTAATTTGTATTACTAGTAAGATTTCATTCTTGCAAATATTGTTTTCAGCCACCATATGGGTAGTCCATCCATGGGATGTACTGTGGTTTGCTCTTACCCATTCCCCAACCCTGGGGCATTGATGTGAATTAATTTAGAAACCTACTTGGAGATTGCAGCCTGTGTTCACGGGCTGCCCATGTTTACTAAATCTAGCATTTTACCCATCTGTTTAACATGTTGACATCTTTTGTCTAAAGACACCTTTTCTCCTTGCCCAGAGTAGTTGAGGTGACCTTAAAGCCTTTTTATATCCCTCCTAATGGCACCACCTCTTCTCCCAGGCTTTAAAACTCCAGGTAAATCAGGGACCTGTCTGCCCAGTGGGCTTTGGCATGGCCCTGAAATCCACACCCTTCTTTTTTTTGGTACTAGGGGATTGAACTCAGGGGCACTCAACCACTGGAGCCACATCCCTAGCCCTATTTTGTGAGACGGGGTCTCACTGAATTGCTTAGCACCTCACATTTTTGCTGAGACTGGCTTTGAACTCGCAATCCCGAGCTGTTGGGCCACTGCCYTGGGCCCTGAAACCACACTCTTCTTTGACTCTGCCTTGGTCCAGACCAGGCCTTTGTAGTGGCCCCCACTTGCTCCCTGTCTCCAGCTGTGCCTCTCCCTTGAAGGCTCCCCAGCCAGAACCCTGAGTGTGGCATTCTAAGGCCTCATGTTCAGACCCTTCCCTGTACCTCCTCTTCTGCTTTTCCTGGCTTCCTAAATCAAGGCAAGATGATTTCATCCGGGCCTTCTGTGTGTGTCTCTGCATTTTTTTTTTTTTTAAAGCTAACACTGAGTATTTACTGTCTGCTAGGAATGTTGTCTCCATCTTATAGAGAGGATCTGAGATTTAGATTATGGAWTTTGTCCCCAAGCTGACAGTTGGTCGGAGCTGACTTGGGGGTCCCACTGCAGGGCCCTCATCATGGCTGCATACATACAGGGGGGTCCCTTCTTCCCTTCTGCCCTCAGTAAAGACTGCACGCTCCAGTTCCGCTTCTTCCGGGGAGCCTCCCATGCTCTGCATCTTTTCCCTGGTTGCTCTACCAGGAAGGCCTTGGCAGCAGTGTCCGCCATACCACATCAGAGCTGGCTGCCAACCTCAGTGGTACCCAGAGCTGGCTGCCATCTTCAGTGGTACCCAGACCTGGCCACCCCTGAGAATCACTGGGATTGTTTTCCAAGGAGAGATTGCCGAGGTGCCTTTCTGGAGGTTGTGATTCMGAATTCCTGTGGCGGATTGTGAAGGGTAGGGACTGTGTTAGAAGAGGCTCTCAGTGGCTCTGGCATGTGGGTTTCCCTAACACAGAGGTCCTGGAGAGGCCACGGGTGCTTACTGAGGTTCCCGACCACAGCACCTGGATGCCTCCCGGTGTCTCAGAGACCCCTGGTCACCAGCTTTTGCTCCTCCTCAAGTGCTGCAGGATGGTCAGTGTTACTTGATGGATTTCAGGTTAATGCCTGTTCATCTTGATGGAGCAGGAGACTCAGAATAACCTGTGATGGTTAACTAGTAATAATTTAACTTTTTTGAGGACTTTCTTCTGTGAAATGTGGTGTTTTACTTGGAGCCCACATAGCCTGACTTTGTCGCTTCCAAATCGAGAGACTGAACTAACCACATCCCTCTTCATGCCTCAGTTTATCCCACAGGTGCTGTTCGGGAACGATAGTATGATATACTCTTATATTTCTGTGACAGTAGGGTAGGAGCCTTCTACAAGAGGGTTAGAATTCGTGCTTGCTGTCACTGACCCTTGGAGTCCCAGGCACTCCAAGGCTTATTGGTAGTATGGGGCGTCTACTCAGGGACCACCTGCCTGTGTGGAGTTGGGGTCTGTCTTACGCCTTAGTGTGGARGAGTCATGTGGGAGGCTTCCTGAAGTCAGTCTGTCATCCTTCAGATCGGGATAACCCCGGTGTGGATGCTTTCTGGGCTCATGTCCTCCTTCTCCAAATTGAGTTGAGCCTCAAGATCCTCCTCAAGTGACGCTCTGGCAGACACCACTTTGGCCCGAGTGAGCATCTGTGTATCACCCCTGGTCTTGGTGTTCCAAAGCTCATCACTGGATCAGGCCATCAGAGGTCCCTGCCTGGACTTTGCAACTTTGGCTTCTTACAGACACKGTTACACGAATGATTTTTCCTACTCGTGAAAGAAGAGGTGGCTGAGTGCGTCCCTTCTTTGTGTCAAGTAATGTGCTTAGTGCTTTAAATGAACTAGCTTGTTTGGTCCACACAAAACCTTAGAAAATAGGTTCTATTTTAATTCTCCTTTTCTAGATGAGGAATTGAGGCCCAGAGAAACAACGTGTCCAAGGCTGCACACAGCTCATGGCAAAGTCAGATTCACCCTCCAGCAGGTCGCCCCAGAGCTGTACTCCCAGCCRTAAATCTGAGAGTTTTCTTCTTGGTGTTGGTGGCAAGGAAGTGACTCACTAGATTGGCCAGCGATGTCTGGCCAGGAGACCCGGTGGCCTGGTGTTTACTCTGGCGCTGATTTCTCCCTTGGCCTCTTTATCGTCCCTCCGCTTCCTTCATTCCCCTGCTGTGGGAGTGGCAGAGCTGGACGCTGGGCCCAGTGCTCTGAGTGGTGGGAACGTGTGCCATCTTCAGACACAGGTGTTAATTGCCGAAATTAATTGGTAATCATAGCACCTGCTCAGAAAGCCCCTAGCATCCCCATCTCCAGTAATTACCTATTAGAAACTTAGCATCCGAAAAATTWTCTCAGCCTCTGTTGAATCTTCGTATATTTCCAGCCTAATTGAATGCTCTTTAGGGCTACCTGTGAGTTCAGAAAACATTCCAGAATTCAATGTGCCTGCTCTAACTCAGCCTTTTGTTTCCCTTGTAAAAATTGGGTAGACCGGAAGAGCGGCGGCTTGGAGTTCTAGTTGAGATTAATTGCTTTCCCCGGTAATCTTCAGTTGTGAAATTCGAGGCAAGGAGTTCACCTCTGGGCTTTCTAGGATCAAATGAGATAAAAATCTGAAAACACTTTGTGATCTGCTGTTAGAGATTATGCCAGGTGTTATTTTATGCTCCATCACTAAACAGTGCAGTCCCTTTAAAGCCCCGACTCTGGTGGGCAGTTCCTCCATTATTTCTGCGGCCTGGACCTTCGTCTCCCCGGTTATTCTGTTTATGCATTCGCTTACCTGTCCATTGATGCAGTTCCTGAGCTCCAGGATGTGCTAGCCTCTATGTTAAGGGCTGGGGAAACGAGAGTGTGCAGAAACCAGTTGTGTCCTTGGAAAGCCCACAGTCAAGTAGGGGAGAGAGAGAGAGTTCTAGAAAGAGGGTTCAGGTGTGGACATAGAATAAGGTTGCARCTGACCTGGCCTGTTAGGGGTTCAGTCTGGAAGCCACACAGAAAAGGTGAGATCTGAGCCAAAGCCTGAGCAGGACTGAGTGTGCTCAGTAAGTGCACACTTACTGAGGGGCTGGGGGAGCAGGGGAGGAGGGTGTGATGTGGGAGCAGGGAGGGTGAGGTTGGTAGAATAGCCCTCTCTGGGAAGCTGGCGTGTAACCATCAGATTTTGTTTGGGGTTGCATGGAGGATGGGTGAGGGAACAGATTGGAGGTGAGACGGGGCAGGGGGCAGAGTTGCAGCCAGTGTTTCAGTGTGACTTGTTCCTCTCTCTGCTCTGGGAGAAGAGACTGGAAAGGCCCAGCCCCCAACCCCTCAGCTGGGGGAGCCAGTTTACCAAGCTGTCCCCCCTAAAGTGAGTTGTCCTGGGCTGTTAAGGTTCATGTCCCAGAAGGTATTTATAAGTTCAGCGGGAGACTTAGCCCAGCTCAGACCTGGCCCTGCCTCCACAGGAGGAGGGAGGCCCTGGATTTAGATGAGAAGCAAAACCCGTGTCCAGAAATGGARGGGTGAGGACAAACCTTAAAGCCGCCCGACAGATGCAGATGTTTGTGGTCTCCTGGGCCTCTCAGGGTGGGCCCCTTCTGGTCGTTCTTTCCAGGCTAGTCGGGGCCTCTTCAAGCTCGCACACTCTGCTGAACTCAACAAAACAGAATTTTTCTATCCACTGAGGTTGAACGAAGGAAGAGATTTTGCAGGGAAGAGATACCTGTTTCCCCTCTTCCTGATGTTAGGGTTGGTGGGCGCTTGTCTTCCCGGCTCAGGCTGGTTGAGGAGGGTCCGGCCCAGGCCAAGTTCTCAGCTGCCTGCAGTGAACATTCCTGCCAGCGGGGGGCAGCAGGCCAGCGTCGAGGTGCCTGAGCGCCTTTGCTGAACACTGGGCCCCTCCTCTTGGTGTGCAGAGGGTGTGTTGGGGGCTGGGGAGGGTCGATGTCAATCAGACATGGGCCTTGCCCGTGGGGGAGATCAGCACAGGCAGAGAGGCAGATTACAGGCTAGAAAGCAGAATAAAATGATGTGGGAGGCAGCCTGGCATAGGGGAAAAAGCGAGGGCAACGGGATTCAGGCCCACCTGGGTTCCGACCCTGATGCTGCCCCTTAGCAGCTGGGTGCCCTTGGCAGGTTGCAGAATGTTAATGCTGAGCAGTTAACAATAGCTGACGTGGAGAGACAGCTTCCTGTGGCCAGGCACTGCTCCCGGTGCTGTGTATCTATATTAACTCATTTAAGCTCCAGCAACCTTTGAAGTAGGTACAGGCGTGGCCCCATTTTATAGATCAGGAAAGGAAAACAGAAGCAAACGATTCTTTCTGCAGGTTGATGGGGGAGCTGGAACCCTCCCTGGACAGGGCATTTGCTTATCTGATGAGGCTGCATGTGCAGGGCCACTGTGGTGTCTGACACCAGGGTAAGGTCATTTATTCTAGGCAGCTGTTGTGCCTCTAGTGACCAGTGACAATGGGGCCTATTGAGCTGTTTCCTCATTAGTGCTCCCTGTTTAAATGACCAATTTTCTATTTTCCTGGCAGATTTGGGCACGTGAGTGTGGCACACCTCCTTTTGGATCACGGGGCTGATGTCAATGCCCAGAACCGGCTGGGGGCCAGTGTGCTCACTGTGGCATCTCGGGGTGGCCACCTGGGTGTGGTGAAGCTGCTGCTGGAAGCTGGTGCTTTTGTGGACCATCCCGGCCGCTCTGGGGAGCAGCCGGGAATGGGAGGTGGCAGGGATGAGCTGCTGGACATTACAGCCCTGATGGCCGCCATCCAGCACGGGCATGAGGCTGTGGCGCGTCTGCTGATGGAATGGGGTGCGGATCCCAACCATGCAGCGCGGACTGTGGGCTGGAGCCCGCTGATGCTGGCAGCACTCACCGGGAGGCTCGGCATGGCCCAGCAGCTGGTGGAGAAGGGAGCCAACCCCGACCACCTCAGCGTACTGGAGAAGACCGCCTTCGAGGTAGCACTTGACCGCAAGCACAGAGACCTTGCAGACTACCTGGACCCGATGACCACAGTCAGGCCCAAAACAGGTCAGGCTACCCCACCACTCTACCCCTGCCCCCACTTTGGTGTCACAGAGAACCCCGAATTTTGTTTAAGTGTCTCAAACCAAGAATTGCCTGCCTGGCCAAACTCAGAGTCTGGCCTTGCAGACCAGTGGGACTTGAGCTGTGGCGTGCGCACAAGTCAGATGGGGGTGCCTGTTACGGCAGGTTCTGTCCACCCTCTAGAGAGCGTGATGTGGTAGCTCTGGGGAATCCCTGGAGACCTACCTAGCCAGGCCTCTCCTTCCTAACCAGATGATTCTGATGCAGGTGGTTCTAGGATCCTTCTAGAACAGAGGTTAGCAAACTTTCTCTGTACAGGACTAGATAATAAATATTTTTAGGCTTTGTGGGCCATACAGTCTGTGTCAGAACTACTCGATTCTGTTAGAATGAAAGCAGCCATACACAGTATGTAAATGAGTGGGTGTGGTTATGTTCCAGTAAACCAAATTACCATGACAGGCAGCAGGGGGATTTGGTCCCTGGGCCGTAGTTTGCCAGCCTCTGCTCTGGAACGGTGTGCTTAACCTCATCTGCCAGCAGTCAGTCCCCAAGACCAGTTCACATGAAATTAGTGAAAATCAGCCCCCCTTTTGAATTTCTTTTTTCTTTAAACATTTATTAATGTGTTTCTGTTTTCCTTTTTCTTTTTTGGGGGGGATGAGGGGTACTAGGGATTGGATTCAGGGGCATTCCACCACTGAGCCACATTCCCCTCCTTTTTTGTATTTTATTTAGAGACAGGGTCTCACTGAGTTGCTTAGYACCTCTCCGTTGCTGAGGCTGGCTTTGAACTCAAGATCCTCCTGCCTCCACCTCCCAAGCTGCTGGGATCACAGGTGTCTGCCACCATGCCTGGCTGTCCTGTTTCTTTTTTGCCATTTTTTTTTYCCCTGGCATTTATAAGGTGGTTTGAACAATCCTTAGTGAATCTGCCACAGGACACATTGCATTTCCAAACCTTTAGTCCATCATGTGCCATAGGCCCAGGAAACAGTGTCACTCACACAGCAGGATCAGATACAAGTGCTGACCTCCTGTCCAGCAGGCCCTGTTTGAGACAGTTCTCCCACTCTGCAGCTGGGTGGCCTAGGACATGTTAATTGTCCCTCTAGGACTTCCATGTCCTATTTCATAAAATAGTCATAACACATTTCGCTGATAAGGCTTTGTGGGGAGAGTCATTAGGGTCATGCCTATAAAATGTGTATCCCATACACRCGCGCGCGCGCACACACACCCACACACACCCACACACCCAGGATCGCTTACCCACTGATCCACATCCCAGCCTTTTCTTCGTGTTTTATTTTGAGACCCCCCCTTTTTTTAAGGTTTTATTTTGAGACAGGGTCTCACTGAGTCCTTATGCCTTACTAAGTTGCTGAGGTTGGTCTTGAACTTGCCGTCCTCCTGCCTGAGTCTCTGCAGTGACTGGGATTACAGGTGTGTGCCCCCACCCCCAGCTATAATATGTTTTTATGGATCCTACATTCTTTCAGTTATTTGACGAATATTTATGGAGTGTCACTGTGTGCCAGGCATCCGTCAAGGCACCTGAGATATGTCAGTGAACAAGTGAGATTCAGATCCTTGCCCTTGAGGACTTTGGCCTCCACAGGGGGAGACAAGCAATAAATAAGAAATCAGCATATTAAATAACCTATATAGCATAAGGTAGAAGGTGCCCTATATTTAAAAAAAAAAAAAAGAAAGAAAGAAATGTGGGCGAGGTCCAGGGATCAGGTGTATCAGAGTTGGGCAGTGAAGGCTGCTCTGTTGAGTAGGGTGGTGGGCGGCCTCCTCAAGAAGGTCATTTTGGCAAACTTGCAGGAGCCCTGGGAGTGCACCAGCATCTGGTAGGACAATGACAAGGGCAAAGGCTATGATATTAATGACAGAGATTATTAAATAAATGTCCACCCCCTACTAGGGCCTGGGTCTTCCCACTGTCTCCCTTGCATTAGCTGCAGGAAAAGGCACCCCTAAAGCTCTCACTGTCACCGTGGCAACCCCACTGCCATGGTGGTAGTGCAGAGGTCAGGGGTTTCTGCCCCTGGGGATGGGTGGTCTGTGGGGCTGCTCTTACATGGACCAAGCACAAAGCCCAGAGCAAGGARGGGCCCAGCCCGGGTGACTGGGCACCACGGCTAGCTACCCTGGCCTCCCAGGGTCACGCTGGACTGTCAATGATTAATTCACAGCAGGTGGCTGCTTAGCAGCCAGCACTAAGAACAAGTGACACACTCTTCTGTCAAAGTGTCTTGTCATGAAAAGGCCCCACCCACAGAAGACGGGACTTGTGAGTACTTAGAGGCACATGGCACATCTGTAAGGGCTGGGGTGCGGCAGTGCTCCTTGGTAGTTTTTCACAGACAAAATTAGACCCCTGACTCTGTGCTGCGTCTGCACTTGCTGTTCAGGACCCTGGAGTCCAGTAATCAACTTCACTGGGGTGGTGACTGGGGCTCGTGAGGATGGCAGTCACCTTTGAATGGGACTTACACTTCTCTGAAGCATTTTCCCAGGTGGATCTGTGTCATCCTTGGATCCCGGCAGCAGCCTGGTGACATGGTTATTGTCCCTCTCGTTAGTGATGAGGAAACAACCTACTATAGGAGTGTGCACTCAGACTCACTCCTCGCTGCCCGAGGGAGAGGGCTGACCACACCAGAGTCAGCCAGGGTCACAGGAAGTCCGGCCTGGGGCCTCCCACGGGCAGGCTGACCCGAGATGCCTGCCTTCTGGCAGGGGCAGGGAACCTGCTGGCCCACACTTGGAGGAGGGTTTGGAATAGGCACAGAGAGGGTGGGCATGGGGTCCCTGTACCAGCCAAGGAATAGGGGCCATTACCAGGACATCCAGGTGGGCAGTCCCTGTCAGGCAGCTGTGTCTGCAGGTGTGGGCAGGGAGTCGTATTCAGATCACTTGGTACTTTGGAAGCAAGATAAAAAATTAACTTTGTCTTTTCCAGTGGCCACGTCTGTGACCTACCATTGAGCCCAGCTGCTCAGGATCTCAAGGTCCTCTGCCTTGGTATTATCTCATGGTTGTATGCTTTGTTTTTGAAAGAAAAGAATTAAAAAAACAAAATTCTTGGGCCGGGGTTGTGGCTCAGAGGCAAAGCGCTTGCCTAGCATGTGTGAGGCCCTGGGTTCGATTCTCAGCACCCCATCAAAATAAATAAAATAAAGGTCCATGGACAACTAAAAAAAATCTTACCGGAATCCAGGTTTTTCTAAGACCATACTTTTTAATATATCTAAGACAGGATATCCCCCACTTTGGGACGTCTGAAGATGATTGCTTCATCAGTGTGGGCTTAGAGCAGTGGTCTGTCTCTCATGTGTTCTCAGAACCCCAAGTAAGGGCCCTTCCAGAAGGACTGCCACCTACTTCCTGTAGGTCTCTGGTTAGGTCTCTTCTGAGAAGCCGATCCCTAGAAATCGGTGTTGTCATACCCTTGTGACTTTGCTGTTATATGGAAGCCTTTCTGTGGTTGACTTTTAAAATCTTTTTTTTTTTTTTTTTTTTTACCCAGATGAAGAGAAAAGGCGACCAGATATTTTCCATGCATTGAAAATGGGTAAGCACCTTAGAAAAATCTTTGTGGGGTATTGAGAGAACACAGGACCACATTTTCCTAATTTAATATTTATAGTCCTTTTTAAGGCCACTCAGAGTATTTGAGAAAGGAACAGGCCTTTTGTTGTTTCCTGAGTCTCCAGTTCACCAGGGAGGTTCAGGCTCTGGAGGCCTGTATCTGTTAGGGTGTTCTACCCATAGTTCCAGACTGCCCTCCCAGGCCCCTGCCTCGCCAGCCAGATGGTGAAGCTGGGCTGTGGCCTCTCCCTGCCTCTCTCTGCACACCCACCACTTCATTCTTAATTATGATAAAAGGCTTTTTGGCTTAAGATTCCCTCTTGGGATGCAGACCCCACCTCCAGGAAGCCCTCCCTGATCATCACCCTCTAGCAGGACCTAGGTTCTGCTTCTCCATGCCTGTTGCCCTTCCTCTCCCTCCTTTGTCTGTTAAGACRCAGCACTTCCATGCATTCTTGTGCTGTCTTCATCCCACGTAGACTGAGGGATTCGAGAGAGGGGATCCATCTTGGCGGCCCCCTRGGTGCCCAGGTGCAGGGTCAGCACAGGTGTGTGCTGAATGAGTCATCTGGATAAACCTGGGGCACTGGGACCATGGGTCACCCGGCTTCCTGCTTCTTTTTGCAGGAAACTTCCAGCTGGTCAAGGAGATTGCTGACGAAGACCCCAACCACGTGAACCTGGTCAATGGGGACGGGGCGACCCCACTGATGCTGGCAGCCGTCACGGGGCAGCTGCCGCTGGTGCAGCTGCTGGTGGAGAGGCATGCGGACGTTGACAAGCAGGACAGCGTGCACGGCTGGACGGCCCTCATGCAGGCCACCTACCATGGGTCAGTGCCAGGTCCACCCCTCCAGGGTGAGGCTGAGCAGGTGCTCGGGGGCTCCTGATAGGGATTCCTGGTCCCAGAGGCTGCATGTGACCTCAGGGCTGTGAAGACAGGGGGCATGTGAGAGAGAGAAGAAGGCCAGTTCCTCCTTCCATGTCCTGGATTCCCACAACCCTGCAGGATTTCACCGGTGGCCCTGAAAAGCCATGTGGCAGGAACACTTTGGGCAGAAAGATAACTCTCAGCTGCGCAGTGTGATTGGCTCATTCGGAGTTTTCACATTGAGCCATAGAGAAGCCTGTAAGTGGCCCCTCTTCAGTGAACGTGGGCATTCACACGTGGGCTTCCSGTGACATTTGGCCGTGAGTCACGCTGACCCTCTTTTGCACAGCCTTCAGTGTGTGCTGGAGGTTTACAAATCCTTCTCCTGCCTGGGGGTCGCCGGCTGAGGCCCTCACCCTCCTCTTCGTGGGCCTTGTAGCTGCTGAATGTTCTGACTCTACTTAGGGCTCTTCCTTTCCCTGTTTCTGGTGGTCATTTCACTTTCCTGCCTTAGCTGGAAGTACTAGCTTTTCTTACTCGATGAGTCTCCAACTTCCCTRTCAAACATCTTGGCCTGTAGGAGGCTTTCGCCATGTTGGGGGAGAAGGGCATTCAGCAGAGAGGTCTCCATGGGGTCAGTGGCCAAGGGCTTTTGGGGCAGAGCCCTCAATTGTTCTTCTGGCTGAGGAAGGAACATTAAGACTCTGGTTCAGATCCGATTTGCATCTGACCTGCTTGGGTGGCAGGGAGTGACGGAGCCTGAGACTGATTTCCCAGGCCTGTCGCGTGCTCAGAGAAGGAGTGCAGAATTTTTTTACACGGTCAGCCTTGTTACCCAGCCATGCTTTTGCTTTTAGTGGGTATATGAGTCAGTTTCRTGTCACCATAGCAAAATACCCGAGGCAGCTAGCTGATAAAGAGAARAAGGCTTAGATGGCACTGTGTGGGGGGCAGCGAGTGTCTGAGCAAGCGCTCACGTCTCCAGCCAGGAAACARAGAGACAGAGGCTGACTSCACTGTCCCATTYCGTGGCTCATCCCCAGTCATCGARGAGTTCCCCTMAGGCTCCGTCTCCCACAGGTCCACAGCACCTCCTGGTACCTTCACCCTGGCCACCAAGCCTCGAACACACAGACCTTTTGGGGACATTCAGTCTCTGAACTATAGCAGTGAGAGTAACTCTGACTTTTTCTTTCCTCCCCAGGAACAAGGAAATTGTCAAATATCTGCTAAACCAAGGGGCTGATGTCACTCTTCGGGCAAAAAACGGGTACACGGCCTTTGACCTAGTGATGCTGCTGAATGATCCCGGTGGGTTACGGGTTGCAAATCTGCACATCCTTTCTTCTCTGTGAGCCAGGTCTTAAGCCCTTGCTTCCTCATGGAGGAAGCCAGTCTAGAGGTGTCCAGGGCTCCCTCGTGACCTTGGGCCAGGCACATCCCTCCCCCGTGAAGTGTAGGGCTTGGGCCAGGCGTCCCTGAGCACCAGCTCCTACACCTCTCCAAGGAGTCAGGGCAAACCACAGTGCGTCTGCTTGCATGGCCCCTCACGTCCTAGAACAGTATCTGCGCTTCACCTGCGTGCCTCCAGAGGAAGCAKGAAGGCCCCCTGACCAGCAGAATGCAATGTGGAGCAGTGACCCTCACTTCGTTGTGTCGGGGGAAGCTGCAGGTCCAGGGTGCCAGGCCAGGGACATCAGCACATTAGCCTCTCTTGGTCCCTGGCTGGCACCTGCTGGTCCCCTTTAACCCTCCCCTGCTGTGAAGGGTCCCCTACTAGGATTGGGGCTTCCAGTTAGCGACAGGATCTCTCTGATGTGCCACCTCTCTTATTGCCCTGGAATTTCAGCTCTAAGGCAGAGGAACGCAGAGGCCCTTCTGAACCACAGGGTTTGAGCACCATGCCAGGATCTCAGCTGCTGGTCATAGGGACAGAGAGGCCTGTCACCTGTGCGGTCCTGAGTKGGGGTGGCAGGCAGGGGTGCCCTTCCTAAGTGCCAGCACCACCCCTCGCCCTGTCCTCTCCAGCAGCCTATGCTGCCCTCGTAGCATGAGGACACATGGATTGAGCCCAGGGCCTCGAACAAGCTAGGCATTGCTGTGCCACCGGCTACATCTCCAGCCCCCCGGATTTTCTCCTTCATATTTTTCAATGTTTTCTTTGTTTAATAACTTAGGTTAATAATAATAGTGTTTAGCCTCTGTGAAGCTCTTGCTGCATGCTACGCATATAAATGTGTGAAAGGGATTTCCTTGAGTCCTCAAGACACATTGATGTGGTGGGTGTCCATGTCACCCCTTATAAATAAGCACAGAGAAGCTGCACGGTACACCTGGGATCACACAGCCAGGGTGGGTCAGAGGCAGGACTTGGGCCTCTGCAGTGGCCTGCCTTGCTGGTTTTTACCCTGGTCAAGTAGGTTGAGCCCGCGGGCTTTTCTKTGCCACTGTGACGATCAGGTGGGCAGCAGGAGTTGAGCTCCTGGCTCTGCAGCTGTGCCCCTCCTGGTGAGGCTGGCGAGGGTTGGCTCAGCCCCCTCCCCAGGGCCCAGCAGACATATATTCAGGTAAAATGCTGCCTTTTGTGTCCGTAGACACGGAACTTGTTCGACTGCTGGCATCTGTCTGCATGCAGGTGAATAAGGACAGGGGCCGGCACAGCCGCCCGCCCCCGCTCGCCTCGAAGGTCAGACAGCCCTGCAGCCTCCCCGTGCTGCCCGACGACAAGGGTGGGCTCAAGGTTTGTCTTTCCCTGTCTTAAAGGGACTTGGGGGCCAGGGAGGTGGGGGATGGGGAGAGCGTGCTACTTCCTGTTAATAGGGGACTGGTTCAGTTCGGGGACAGGGCCCACAGGGCTGGCAGGTGAGTTGGGGTGAGCAGTGGGATCCAGGGAAAGCTGGGGTGATCATAAGCAGCACTGGCCACTTTGTAAGGATGTGGGTCCACGTTGCCAGATCTTCCTGATTTTTTAAAAGAGGAATCAKGACTCCAGGTTTTGCAGTGGAATCTCCATTTATAAATGGAGGGAATTAAAAACATAATTTCCCACGAAGAAGTCCTAAGCTGGCCAAACTGCACCTCTTTGCAAGGTGTTGTTTTGCCTCTGCTTCACTGTGTCACCGGGGTCTCCCCTTGGCCCACAGACCCCTTCTKCTGCTTCCTCGGGACACCCCAAAMAAACTCTAGTTGCCAATTTCTAACTGCAAGCCAACAGTCTTTCTGCTATGGCTTCTGTCTCCCCCACCTGTTCTCCTTGTTTAAAACCAAGCTTGTTTTATTCCTGGGAATGCAGACAGGAACCCTGGCCTGGTGCCCTGACTCTGGTCCTCGAGTGCAGTCCTGTCTTCCCTGCCCGTCATGCAGGTCTCCTCTCCCCTCCCCAGGTGGGGTCCTCTGAGCAGTCCTGGGCCATCTGCTGCTTTAGCTGATCCTTCCCCATCCAGAGACACCAGGTGCTGAGCCTGGGGTCCTGATGACCCGGGACTGCTCAGAGGCCAGAAGGAGCTGCCTGTGGAGCAGGAGGAGGGGGCTGTGCAGTGGGCCACCTGAAGGAGTGTGGACTTTGGGTCTGTCCATCTGCACCTGTCTTGCTGTAAAGCCTTGAGCAGCTCACCCCACCCACTTCCCCGCCCACCCCCTTTGGATCTGCATTTCTTCATCTGCAGCGAGGAGACTGAGCAGATGAGGGAAGGCCACCAGGTTCCCAGAATCCTACTGGAAATGGTCAGGAAAGATTTAGTTGGACGACCAGGCTGGTCAGGCAGGGGTGCTATGGCTGTGCCCAAGACCTGGGCRGGCAGGCTGGCCTAGTGTTGTCACTGTCCTGGCCTGCCTTCCCTGGCATYGCTGGAACATGACCCGTCTCTGGTTCCCTTGACAGTCCTGGTGGAACCGAATGTCCAATCGGTTCCGCAAGCTCAAGCTGATGCAGACGCTGCCCCGTGGGCTGTCCAGCAACCAGCCCCTGCCTTTCTGTGATGAGCCCGAGCCAGCCCTGGACTCCACCATGAGGGCAGCCCCCCAGGACAGGACAAGCCGCCTRGGGCTCCCTGATGCAGCCCCTGTGACCAAAGACAGTGGTAAGGAAGGCCTGAGGTCTTGGGTTCCTGTCCCTTACACCTCTCTGTCTTGGAGAAGCACTTTTTCCTTCTATCATATCCCTCAGCAGCTGGCTGAGGCTTGTGGGTGGGGCTGTCCAGCAGTCTGCTCTGCACCCGCCGTCCTGGGATGAGGCCMTGTGGGAATGTGGCTCTGGAGCAGAGCGCTGGTGTGGACACAAGGGGCAGAGGTGGGACACGCTCCTGCACATAAGATGGGATGGGCAGAGCTGGCCAGTGCCCAGGTCACGGGTTCCTGTCCCTCATGCCTCTCATCTTGGAGAAGCGCTTTTTCCTTCTMTCGAGTGCAGCTGGGCTGAGGCTCGGTGAAGCGCCTTGAAAGAGGGGAGTCATCTGTGGGGGTGGGTCGTGAGCTCGCTGACACTGGGGCCTTCAGCAGACTGGACGTCTTTGTCCAGCTGCTGACACATCTCCATACTCGGGGAATATCGATCAGGTGAGAGCTTGTGAACCGGGACCAGCTCCTTCGGCACCACTCGCCRAGACAGACTATTGAGCTGGGCGCTGCCGTGTCCTCCCCAGCACAGCGGTGGTTTATGGAAAAGCTTGACAAACGCTCCTAGATGCCTTTTAGATGCTTGCCTTCTATTAAAATATTGAATACCAATTATTATTAAATATTTAGCCACTCAGGAGRGCCGGCTTTCCAGAGGAAGCCTGCCAGTCACTCACCCTCTCCCCACGGTCACGTGGGAGGGTCATTTCAGGAAATTTCCATTTGTCTCTCAGGTCCCGGGAGCACAAGAGGAGAAAAGGAGGATGCATTATTGACCACCATGGTGAGTCGGGGGGCCTCTCTAGAAGCACGTCAGTCTCTGCCAGTCACCAGGTGATAAAGGAGGGATGTGGGCACTGACCTTCCTTCCTGGTGGCCACAGAAGGGGCTGGTGATCAGATGTGTTGCAGAGGGAACATCTCTGGCTCCAAGGAGTCGGGACAGATGCCAGCCCTAAACCCAAGGCCCTGCGGCTCTCGGGGCCAGACCTGGGTTCTCGGGCCGGGGCTGAAGGGTAGACCTGATGGGCAGATCAGACATGAAGACTCTCCACTGTGGTTACAGAGAGTCAGGGGAAAGGAGGGAGGGTGCCTTCCAGCCTGGGAGAGGCCTCACTTTCCTAATCTATAGACCAGAGATGTATCAGGATGAGATTCAGCAGTGAGAATGAGCAAGTCCCYGAATATGGTGGTATACATAAGGCAGCGGTTTATTTCTCTCAAATAGAGACTAGGCACTGTGGAGCTGGGGACCTAGATGCCTTCTACCTATAGTTCCCCACGCATGAGTTCTATTCCCAAGGTCGCCTCCTGCTCCACAGTGGGTGCCAAAGCTCTGGCTCTTACTGCCTAATTCCAGCCAGCAGGGAGGAGGGAGAAGAGGCGGCCAGGGGTCCATGCCAGCTGTCTTTGAAGAAGTTTCCTGGAAACTTGCACACATCACTTCTGCTTGTATCAAATTGGTTAGAATTTGGTCACATGGCTCCATCCTGCTGCCTGGGAAGCCGGGCAGTAAAGCCTGTTCCAGTTGGTCATGTGCCCGAGTAAATACCACGGATGTTATTTCTAAGATGCAGAAGGCAGATACTGGYGGACAGTTTGCAGTTTCTGACTTTGGGGTGATATCTGTCAGGGTTGTGATTTTTAAATGAAAGCATCCTCAGGAAATTCTTAACCTGGTGCTTGGCCCAGAAKAAGCTCTACTGTGTGACCTTGGGTATGTTATCTTGCCTCTCTGGACTTGGTGTTTTGTGGACTAAGAGCCTGGTCCTTCAAGTTCCTTTAGTGCTAAAACCTGATGCTGGCCAGCAGAGGGCAGTCTTGGAGAGGACAAGGGAGCAGTCACTGGCCCAGAGGGCAGGGCRTCAGCAGTGCCAGGGACTGCAGAGCCCAGCCAGCCTCCCTGGCCCAGGCAGCCACATGCCCTGCCCTGCAGCAGGTGCGCATTGATGGCCCCAACCGGCTGTGGGAGCTGGGGCTGCTCCACATTTAAATACGTTATCAAACRGCAGCAGTTCCATTCGATAGGGAGTCAGAAATGCTATTATAGGAATTTTAGAAGATGCATAGATTCAAGAAAGGAAATAAAATCACCCTTGATTGCACACCCAGATAGAATCGTGGTTGACATTTTGTGGTATATATCTTTTGAGTATTTTTCCTAAGCATTTTTTAGCATCTATGAATATGATATCATGTTATGTATAATAATAGCAAATACCACAGCACTTACTAAATACCAGTCCCTATTCTGGGCGCTTTACGTATATTAACTCATTTAATCTCCCAGAGAGCCCTAGGAGGCTGACAGGATTACCTTCTCCCCTTGCTGTCTGGGATCCGATTTATCAATTCACYGGGACCCACCGTTTTCGTGTCATTAAACACTCTTTAGCCACATCATRTTTAATGACCCAGCGGCAGGACATTCCATCTGGAGTGTCTTTCTCCAAGACGGGCCCATCGGACTTCAGAGCGTCTAGTGTTGGATGTCTGGACGTCTCTGTGGACTGTCTCTGTTCCTCCGTTGCCCCACCRCCTCGTTGTTTCTCAGGGTCAATGTCTAGAAATGGAACTCCCGGGCAAAGGGTGTGCATGTTGTTGGCTTCCAAAAAGGCTGCAGCAACGGAGATGGGTAGCCGGGAGTAGAACCCCCAGGCATGGTGGGTTTGCAGCCGTGAGGGTCCAGGCCAGCCCCCCACTTGCCAGATGAGGTTGTTGAGTCTAGAGGGGACAGAGCCCCTTCRCGGACCCTACAGAGGCAGGACAGTCTGTGTGGGAACCTAGGAGGCCTGCTCTCCTGCCCTGTAGGTCTCAGGGGCCATGCTCGCTGCCCCACGGGGGATGGCGGATGGCCCATGGCCCTTCTGGCCCACTGAGTGGGCGTCTGCAGCCACCGGCACAGAGCTGCTGCCTGCCGGGCTCCCGAGGCGGGTTAGCTGTGGGGTGCCCGTCCCCACCAAGCGCCATCTGGCACCGCGTTCGCTGTCTTCTCTTAATTAAAGCGAGCGTGGACCGTGTGAAGGCTTTTCCTTGACAATCCTACAGTCATCACTGTGTGGATTTTATACTGACCCCCCCCATCACATTTTCAAAATGTAAAATTACAGTTGAAAATGTCAGCGGCGGGAGGCGTGGCTGGGTGGGCTGAGAGGTGGGGGCTGGGAGGGGAGCGTGCCTGGGCTGCAGCCCCTCACCTTCCTCCCYCAGCCCCAGCTCTGCTCAGGCTGGGGGCCCTGCAGCTCTGCACCCTCATCCCGCCCACCTGGTCCCGGGCCGTCCTGTCCTGTGCATCTGGAGTGCTCCCCCTGTCCCCCCAGCCTCACCACGCCCTCCCTCGGGCTGGGTTCAGGCCACCCTCTGCGTTCTCTCCTGCAGCAGGTGCCCCCGCCCTGCCCTCCCCRTGTCCTCTCCCTGCAGCAGGTGCCCTTCCTTGTGCCCCCACTGCCATCTCTTCCTTGGCTCCCTGTCCCTCTGTYCCCCCCTGTCTTGCTGTAGCTCCGCGCTGTGCTCAACCCTTTCTAGGAGGAAAACTGGCCCCTGGCTTGAGTGGGTGGGTGGCTGGTGGTGGTTCTGAGAGCAGGGGTGGCCCCTCGGGGTTGGTCTCACCCTCAGTCTGTCTTTGCAGCTGCGAAACGGAGCCCCCTTCACCAGACTCCCGAGTGACAAGCTGAAGGCCGTCATCCCCCCCTTCCTGCCCCCTTCCAGCTTTGAGCTGTGGAGCTCTGACCGGTCCCGGACGTGTCCCCACGGGAAGGCGGACCCCGCCAAGACTGTGCTGCCCCAGAGAGCCAGCAGGGGCCACCCTGGGGGCAGCGGGGGCACTGACACGGTGAGTCACCCGTGGAGTTCCAGGCAGAGGGACCTCAGGCCGACTGGTAGTCCCCTGCCTCTTGAACAAGGAGACGTGCAGCTACCGAGGGGGGGAGGCAACCTGGGAAGCCAGCATGARCCCCCTCCTCATCCTTGGCTTAGGCACCTCTCGGGCAGGTGTGAGGAAGGGGACAGCACTCACAGGTCTTGGGGACTGGGACACAGACATCTCTTCTGGGGCTGCYACCTGGCTCACTGCAACTTTCATTCATCACTACCAAGTGCCCCCAGGGCACCCAGGCCAGAGCCAGGAGGGCCGGACAGTGGGGAACGGAGGCCCTGGGAGCTGGCAGGTCCCTGGAGATCCCCCACAGTGGCCACAGTGATGTGCGCTCAGGCTGTGACGTGAATGGCAGTAGGCTGGTGGGGGGCTGTGCAGGGCCCCCTGGAGCCCTTGGCAGGGAGGGTCTCGGGGACCTGGGGCAAGGGCCAGTGGTGCAGGGCCAGCTGCATGGATAAAGTCCCGAAGGTGCAGAAGGGACCAGCAGGAAGCTAAGGGCTTCCATGTGATGGGCAGAGCAGATCAGGTCATGGAGGAGCGAGGCCAGCGCTGGCACTAGGGACCCAGGGAGCAGGAGGCTCTGAGCCGGCTKGGGGAGGGGAAGACATTCCAGCCAGGGACCGGCAGGGACCCCTAGGGAGAGGCAGGCTGGGATACGGGAGGTCACTGGCTATGCTGGGCCGAGGGGTCTCRTCCTGGGAGTGACTGGGCCTGCCTGGGGTTCCCAGTGAATGACAGGGTCAGGTTCTCTTCTTGAAGGGCCCTGGGGTCAAGTGAGACCAAAGGGAACGATGTCAAACAGGCCCAACCTGAGCTGATGGGTTCTCAGAAGATGGGACTGAGCTCTTGGGGGCCAGCAGGCCGGTGCCGGGCAGGGCCAGCCTGCGCTCCTTGTGGTCCTGTGCATCCACAGGGAGGCGCCGCTGTCCCTAACCACCACTCCGCCTGGTTCTTGCAGACTCCCGTCCGGCCAGTTAAATTTCCCAGTCTCTCCAGAAGCCCAGCCTCTCCTGCCAGTTCTGGAAACTTCAACCACTCGCCTCATTCCTCAGGCGGCTCCAGTGGGGTCGGGGGCATGAGCCGGCACGGCGGGGAGCTCCACAGCCGCTCAGGTGGGCAACCCCTCSGGCTGGGGGCTGCACCTGGTCCCAGAAGTGGCCACGCGTGCTGTGGGGTTTGCAGTGGGCGTTTGCCTTGCTGGGCGGGAGTCCGGAGTCTCTTGGGTTGGCTGTTGCAGTACTAGGGACTGAACCTCGCCCTCACCCATGCTGGGCCAGCTCTCGACCACCGAGCTACACCCCCAGGCCCTAGATTCACATTTTCATGGATGTATGARAAACTATTTTCTTCCTAACCACCGTTGCTTACACAACTCAACTTGTTACGCAGAGTCCCTTATGCACCCACAAGTGACCAGCATTAAGATTTTGGTGTTGGGGGCTGGGGATACAGCTCCAGTTGGTAGAGTRCTTGCCTCACATGCACAAGGCCCTGGGTTCAATCCCCAGCACCACACTGCACCCCCCCACACACACACAGATTTTGGTGTATATCTTAGCAAAGTGTCTTTATGCATATTAGGAATATTTTTTGGATGAGGCAACTGGGTCTCAGGACCCAGTGAGGTAACTTGCTCAGCGTCACACAGCTCTTCAGTAGCGGAGCCAGGACCCAGGGGTCTGACCTCAGAGCCTRCTCTCATAGCCACGGGCCTTCCTGAGCTGGGCGCTGCTGGCCYGAGTCGGGTGCTCTGTAAACAGCAGCTAGTGCTCCTTGCAGTGCTGGCCCTGGRCGCTCACTGTCTCCCTTTCTTTCGTGACTCAAGGTTATGGGTAGCCTTGGTGAAATGGGAAGAGGGAGAGTGGCCACTGGGGATCAATCCAAGAAGCAGAGCACCCCGAGGACCATGAGACCCAGGGAAGAGCAAAGCCAGGCTGCATTGTGTCCGCCCAGCCTCTTCCCCACCCCCAGCAGTGCCTCTGCTGCATGGTGGCCACTGCCCGGCCGCCTCCTGGTCCTGGGAAAGCCCTGCCTGGGCCGGGAGTACTCAGGCCTGTGGTGGTCATTCCTGTTTCCATCTCCTCAGGTGGCAGCGTGGATAGCGTCTTGTCCCAGATCGCTGCCCAGAGGAAGAAAGCAGCCGGCTTGTCGGAGCAGAAGCCCAGCCAGCRGTCCAGCCCTGTGGGGCCAGCACCRGGGTCCGGCCCGTCCAGCCCRTCCGAGCGTCCYGTCTCTCCTGCGGGCACCGCCGTTCCCAGCAGCAAGGTACTTGTCCTGTGGAGACCGCTCCTCTTAGGCTCACAGATCTGTCCTGACATGGCCCCATGCCAGGCAGCACACTGTGGCCACTCTCACACTGTCACCAGGGACAGGGGCTGTTGTGGAGAAGGGAGGGCCTCAGGGACCTCCGAGGGGGGCTCAGAAGGATGGATGAGGAGCCAGCTGCATGGCGGGAGGGGCAGAGCATTGGTGAGCCTGTGGAATGCAGGAGCAGCTTCCTGGTGCTTCAGAGGCGAAGGTACCATWCGGAGGGGCTGAAGAAAGGTGGGAGGGATGGCYRKGCCTCACCTCCCTGCTTCTGGTACCATTCCTCTATTAATGCAACCTGAGAGCAATCACCACACTTAGTGTCTCTGGAGTTTGCAGTGGGTGTTTATAGATGCCTTGCTGGATGGGAGTCTTTAGTCCCTTGAGTTTTTGATTTTGTTGTTTGTTTGTTTTGCAGTACTAGGGATTGAACCCAGRCCCTCACCCATGCTAGACCAGCTCTCTACCACTGGCCTWCACCCCAGTCCCTAGATTTGTGTTTTCATGGATGTATGAGAAACCGTTTTCTCCCCAACCACCTTTGCTTACACACTCTCTTTGTTATTCAAAGTCTCTTGTGCYGGGGGTGTGTGTGTGKGGGGCCTCTGAAATTAGGTTCCTTTTGCAATTTAGCTCCAGAAAGTTTTTCCTCCTGTACGCAGGAGCTTCATTTCCACTGTGTTCAGAATTGTTGGTRGAAAGGAACGATATAATTAAGTTCTTTTTAGAATTCAATGACAGTGGGGGGAAGGCTCTACTGATGTTTTGATATATTTTCTTTTATCAGTAAGAATTCATGTAATTTTATTTCTCTTTCTGTTTTTGCTGCTAGGAAGCCCACAACTACTCAAGTAAGTCTGATAGTCTGGGGCTTTTGAAATCGCTTTTCTCTTCTCTGTTGTCTAAAATTTCTGTTGTTGGATGATCTTATTAGATGTATTAGACATGATTAGCTTCTTTTAACTGGTGTTGGCAATAGGCATGTGTCTAAGTGATAAATCATACTACCTATTATCTGGCTTGATGTGTCTGTCCTATCTAATCTATATGCACAGTTATTCTGACGAAAGAAAATGGACTCTTTCAAAAGATGCATTCAGGAGGTAAACTGGGAATGATCCACTGCCACCATCACCTGGTACTCTTAGCATGGTAACAGGCTCTAACCTTGGCAGCTGTTTAAAAATTCAGGTTTCTGGGCTCTGCCCCACCATGGCTGAGACACCCTGGGTTTAGTCTGGGGAATCTGCTTTCCCTTAGGGAAAGCCTGGAGCCAGCTGCACCCAGGGCTCTTAAAGACCACTGTCCTGCATGGAAGGACCCAGAGCGGGCAGCATCAAAGTGGAGACGTGAAGTRCTTTTTAGAAACTCTCCGAGGAAGGCCAGAAATTAGGATTCAAAACAAGGGATGCCTGGATCTGGCCTGAGACAAGCCACGTGCCACCCTGGTGGAGTGTGCACGGGGCTGGCTTCCTCCACCCGCACGGTCAGTGTGCATCAGCCTTTGGACRGGTGGACAGGGCAGAGTGGGGGGCCCCGCCAGGCCCCACGGCCCAGGGAGTAGCCACAGCTTTCTCTTCCTGCCCTMAAGGTCAGGGTTTCAAACAGGAAGCGCTTGTTGAGCTTCTGAACCTGTGGAGCGGCAGGTAGGTCTGGACAGTCCTGGTCTGGGGTATCCCTCACCTGTCTGACTGTCAGGGGGAGTGGCCAGGACAGCTGGGCCATGCGTGTCCACAGCAAGCTTGGACTTGTTCCCCTGGCAATGCCCAAAGCAGGAGTGAAACCAGGCACGGTTTCTTAGGGCATCAGCGTGCCACCCCTGGGGGCACGGGGCTGCCTAGCAGAGGGCGGGGCCCTGGGAGGCCTGGAGATGACAGCCTGGGGACAGTCAGTCTGCCACAGCAGACAGGCAGAGGGCAGTTCCCATGTAAATGATCTCATCTTCACCTGTCCTTCCTGGTAATGCTGCCCCTGTGGTCCGGGGTATCACATCTCTTTGCTCTGGGCTGGGATAGACAGGTCTTATGGGATATCATGATGATCACCYGCTTAATCAGGAGCTCTGCTTGGGAATGTCTTTGTAGAAAGAAGCAGAGGAAGGGGTGTATTAATAAAAGTCTAAGTAGCTTGTTAAAAAGAATCTTTCAAAACCTAAGGGAGGGACTTCTTTTTCCACCCTGGGATGTAGTTAGCTAGCTAGAGCATTAAACGCTTAGTGGTAGAAGTCGCACTTGTTTCCAGGCATGAAGACAGTTTCTCTTTAGTCCCTCCTGTGCTGTTGAAGATGTCTGATTTTTAGCAGGAATTACAAGATAAATAATAGTTAAAAACAAAAACACCCCAAGAAACAAAGCCGTCTTGAGAATAAGACTGAGGTATGACACAGGTGTTGGAGTTTTAAATAACTGTGACTGACGTGGTAAGGGCCCTAATGGAAAGTAAGGACACCCAAGGTCATATGAGTAACTCCTGCAGCAGAGAGGTCGAAATCCAGTGGAAACGCCAAAAGACACGGTTGCAGAGATGAGAACACAAGAGATATTTTTGACAGACTTGTCAAACCTGACACAACCAAGGAAAGAATCAGTGAACTTTTATATAAGCCAATAGAAAGAAATCACTCTCACTGGCTGGGCACAATGGTACACGTTGATAATCCCAGGGCCTGAGGAGGCTGAGGCAGGAGAATCACAAGTTCAAGACCAGCCTCAGCAACTTAGCAAGGCCCTGAGCAACTYAGTGAGATACTGTCTCAAAATAAAATCTAAAAAAATTTATTTAAGGACTGAGGTTGTAGCTCAGTGGTAGAGCACCTCTGGGTTCAATCCCCAGTATGGAAGGGAGGGAGGGAGGGAGGGAGGAATCACCCTGACTGAAATAGAGAAGGAAGGTATAACAAAAACTCCGGACTCCCAAAAGTTATGAGAATGGTGAGGCAGAGGGAATATTTAAACAGATGTGGTTGATAATTTTCACAAATCAATGACAGATAGAAATCCACGGATCCTTAAAGCTCAGAGAATCCTCAATAGGAAAATGCCAAAGAGAWCAACACACCTAGCTCTGTTATGTTGAAACTGCTGAAAACAAGATGAGAAAGTCTAATTAAAGGCAGCCAAAGAAAAAAGAAATCACACCCTCTGTCATGGCATCTTTAAACCGGCCTGAAGGAAAAACASAGCCATGCCATCTCATAAAATGAGCTGGGAGGTGTTCTCTCCTCTCCTGTTTCTCTGGGCGAGGTTGTGGAGAATGGGTATTCCTTTTTCCTTAAATGTTTGGTAAGATTCGCCAATGAAACCAGCAGGGATTTTCTCTCTTGGAATTTTAACTTACAAAATAAGTTKAACAGAGAGAAGGCTGATTAGATGATCTGGTTCTTCCCGAGAGGGTGCCGTGCCTTGTGTCTTTCTCTCGTCTTCATTGTGGCATTTGTGATGCGGAGTTGTTGTTAGTTCTCCTTTATCACTGTGATGTGGGGTCAGTAGGAAAATCTCCTTTTTCCTTCCTGATGTTGGTAATTTGTGACTTTTTTTTTTTTGTTTCATCCATCAGGCTAAAAATTTATCGGTGTTATTGGTGTTTTCAAAGGATCATCTGCTTTCATTGATTTTATTTTTTCATTTTTCAATTTCACGGATTTCTACTGTTATCTGTCATTTGCCTCYGTGAGCTGGCTCTGTGTCTTGTCTTCTTTAGTTTTTTTATGGCAGAAGTTGAGATTGCTCTGTAGCCATCTTCATCTTGTCCAGGACAAACGTTCGGTGCTGTGAAATCACCTCTCAGTGCTGTTTTCCCTGTACCCTACGCACTTTGATACATGTCTTTATTTTAATTACAGGCAAAATTTTTTTTTTTTCACTTCCCTCCATATTTCCTCTTTGGCCCAGTATTTAGAAGCGTGTGGTTCATTTTGCTGTCATGTGGGGGTTTTCTAGAAGTCATTSTGTTCCTGGTTTCTCATTTCATTTCACTCTAGTTCTACTTCTGTTCCTTGGGGTATATTGAGGTCTAGTTTTACTCCCTGGATGGTGATTGATCTTGGTGAGTGTCCCAAATGCACTTGAGGAGAAGGTGCGTTCTKTTGTAGCTGGGCAGGGGAGGCCCCGCAACTGTCAGGGGCACTTGGCTGGTGGTGTCCTTCAGGTGTTCTGTGTGCCTACAGATTTTACGTCTGCTTGTATCGATAACTGAGAGAGGAGCATTCAAACCTCTCACTGTAACTGTGGATTGGTTATCTCTCCTTTCATTTCTGTCCATCAGTTTTTGCCACGAGTAATTCGTGTACACATTTAGGGTGGTTACTTCTCCTGGAGAATGACCCCAATATCGTGATAGAACGTCACGCTTACCCCCTGGAAACAAGGATATGTTTTTATGATGTTACCAAAAAAATAAAAAGTGACAGACCAGTAACCCTCATGAATATAGGTGTAAAAATCTCCCCAAAATGTTAGTAAACAGAATCCAATGATACATAAGAAGGGACACACACGCTGGCTCAGTGGCATTTATCCCAGGAAAGCAAATCTAGATCCGCAGTAGCAAATCAATCTGTGTGATTCACCAGGTTCATAGACTAAAGAATAAAATGCAGGAAAAGCACTYAACAAAATCCAAAGTCCATGGTGATCAAAACTGAAAACACACTAGGCAAGGAAGGAAACCTCCCGAATCTAATCTAAAACACCTCTCGCTGGCATCACACTTACTGGTGAAAGACCAAGGGTTCCAAGGACTTCTCACCCCCAAGCACTCTCAGTTCCATATTAGAAACGACAGCTAGCACAGCGAGGCAYGGAGAAGAAATCAAAGGCATGCAGATTGGAAAGGAAGAAATGAAGCCATCTCTCCTCCTAGAGGACATGACTGTCTACACAGRAAACTTCAGAGAATCGACACCAAAGCTCCCAGGACTAATAATGAGTTCCTCAGGGTCAGTGAACAAAAGTCAGTTGAATTTTTTTTTTATGGTAGCAGTGGATAAATAGAATTTCTTAATTTGAAAGTTAAAAAATATCATTCACATGTTAAGGGCATTTGTGAAAATGAAATAATCTGAAGTTATATGGAAGTGAATACTTAGGTGTAAATTTAATGAAACATGCAGAAACTATAGGTTGAAAACTCTGAAACACTGATAAGACAGTGAAGCCTAATATAGTTGTGTTGCAGTGTGATCTACAGATTCAATGTAATCCCAATCAAAATTATGCTTTGTAGGGATCTACAAATAATTGTGAAATTTATATTGAGAGGCAARRAAAAAAAAAAAAAAAACCTAAAGGAGCCAAAAGGATTTTTTGGGAAAAAAAATGAAATTGGACATCTCATATTAATTTTAAGACTTCCCTTAAAGCTACACTGTGTATTAATGAAARAACAGACTCACAGATCAATGGAGCAGAGCAGAGGGCCCAGGAATAGACCTGCACAAGACTTGTTCACGTATTTATTTATTTATTTTTAACAAAAGTGCTMAGGCAAATCAGTAAAGTCTTTTCAGCTGAAAACTCTGGAATAATCAGATRTCCACACGCAAGAAAATGAACCTCCCCTCACGTCTCACTGCTAATATAAAAAGGAACTTGAGATGCATTATAGTCAAGAGTTGAAAATGAAARACTATAAAGCTTCCAGGAGAAAACACGGGATCATGTGTGTGTGACTATGGATTTGTCAAAGAACGTAAGCACTGGTTACCTGGGTTCCTGTGCGTTCACGTGTTTCCTTGCTCCTCTCATAGGAGAGGCCCCGTGAGCCCCCGTGAGCCCCCGTGAGCCATGACATCCCAGTAGCAGTGAGCAACCTGGTGCCCAGACTTTGGTTTCTAAATACCATTCTCCAATAAAAGGGATCACAGCGCTTTGGCAATGGCTCATTCCCAGGACTGAGGCAGAGGAAATGCAAGATGAGCATTTTGTGGTATCAGAAAATAGGGAAGGAAATGCTTTTTTAAAAAGGTGGGAGGAGGGAGGGAGGGGTGCAAGGTGTTAAGTCAGGGACCGCAAGAGAGGTGTGTGGAARCTCTTGTATCTTTGCAGATCTTCTGTGCATCTAGAATTATTTTCATATAAAAAGCTCTCTGACTCTTGCTCACTGCTACTGGGATGTCATGGCTCATGGGGCCTCACCTACGAGAGGAGCAAGGAAATATGTGAACGCATACTAACCCAGGTAACCAGGGCTGTCAGTACTGTATTCCTTGACAAATCCATAGTCATACAGATATGCGCCTCTGTCTGTCTCTCTCTGTCTTTCTCTCTCTTTCTGTCTCTCTTGCTCTCTCTCTCAAGCTAAACAATTAAAAAAGGAGAAGGGAGGAGAAAGTGCTGAGTGTCCTTTGGGAGACGTGGGAGGTGGCRGCATAAAAGCAATACACGGAGAGCAGAAGGGCCTTGTGTGTCTGTCAGAGCCAGGCAGCTGGGGCCCAGGAAGGAAAGGGGACTCGGTCAGGGTCGCAATGCTAGTAGCTGCAGGGACAAGCTTCCTGCCAGTGTCCTGGCCCTTAACGTGCCTCTTGTCCCGCTCTGCTTGCTCCCCTACGCCCAGCTCTGCTTAACATGCCTCTTGCCCCCCCACAGCTCTGCTCCAGTGGATATTCCTGTAGCTGTGTCCACTTTGCATAGGAAGTAGATTCCCAGGTCCTGGCCCGGCATCCTGTTGTCGGAAGCCACCTGCGCTCCCTACCGTGGCTCGCTGCTCTCATCCTTTCTGCCCTCAGAAGCAACGGCTTATGTTCTCTTCAGCAGAAATTGGACACCAGCCCAAGGCCGGCCTCTGGAACCAGCTCGACCTCCAAAAGCACCTCCCCGACCCTCACGCCCTCCCCTTCACCCAAAGGGCACGCTGCGGAGTCCTCTGTGTCGTCCTCCTCCTCCCAGAGGCAGTCCAAGAGCAGCGGGGGCTCCAGCAGTGGCACCATCACAGACGAGGGTGAGTCCCCAGCCCTGAGCCTCCGGCTGTTCCCACTCCATGGTGACCTGGCATCAGGCAGCCATCAAGTGCCCTGAATTGCTACACCCTAGGTCAGGTGTGTTTGTTTTTTTAAACAAACCRTCTCACCCTTCCCAGAGTCTGCTTGTATTTTTGTCTCCACTGTGCTAAAGGTGTGGTTACGYGCTCTCACAGGGTTTTTGAATATAGGTGAGTTTTGTTTATATGCACACACACCCATGGACGGGCTGCTCCAACACACAGTTATTTGCTTTCCCTAAACCTTCTACAAATCGGGATTATTTCAGTTACAAGTGAGGGGATCTCAGTGACTTAAGGGGGAGAAGTGCCTATGGTAGGCTTCAGGCATGTCCACATCCAGGTGCTCTGGAACTGTTTCCCAAGTGCTGATAAGCAGCTTCACGCTTACTGTGATTTCCTGACTAATTTTGCAACCCCAGCAGAAAAGAGCTACTTTCTTAGTAGGTCCAAGCAAAACCCCAGGGGGTTTATCTTTTGTTCCTCCTTGACCATCCTTGTCTATCTCTGTGCCCAGGTGGTGGGATGTATGGATGGGTGGACTCAGGTCTGGCTTCTGCCTTGGGAGAGGATTCTAGTCTGCCTTGCTGATGTGGTGTGGATTAGAAGAGGCAGTGAGGCACTGCTCAGAGGAAGGTGGAAGTGCCGTTCCAGGAGGGAATGGGCCCAGGCAGGCAAGGGCCCCTGATGTCCACTGCRGCCAGGGACGCTGCCCGTGGAAGGTGCTATCAGGTGCATTGCTGGTAGCTCAGCGGCTCCTTGCAGGTGCTGGGGAAGAAGGTGCCCAGAGCTTCTGCAGCGCAGGGATGAGCTGGAACCAGCCACAGGGCCCTGGCCATGCTGGGCTGGTAGATGCCCACTGTGGCTGGAACCGTCTTTTTCTGGGGCCTGCCTCTTCTACGGTTTGGTGAAATCCAGTTAATCAGTTACAGAGGCTTCAGAGATCCACCAGCCACCTCCCTCTGCCCCCCACATGTCCTGCATGGAGTCTGAAGTCCCCCTTGAGGGCCTTCAGGAAATTGAAACCCTGGAGATGCAGGGTTAGCCATTTCTCCTGTGTCCTCTCCCAAGAGTTGAGCAGGACCTGTTTGTACCACCCATGCCCATCCTGTCCCTCTCATTCGTTATAAAAGAAGGTTTGCAAAGCACTAACTGGAAGAAAGAGAACCAATAGCAATTTCTTTCTAGACTCATGTTTCTGGTTTAGAGAGCCTGGTTTTCCCTTCTGCAGTCCTCTGGTCCTGAGACAGTGAGACCTGTAGAGTGTCACAGGACAGGGCTGCAGTCTGTCTTGCAACACAGGACGCAGCCGGACCTGAGTTCTTGGGACAGTACAGTGTGCCCTGCCGGCTTCAGGAAGAGTGGTCCTCCTGAGGGCCTGAGAGGAGACGGGGCAGCTTGCACCGGAGCTGAGTATTAGGTGCACAGGAGACGCAAGAGCGGCCAAGGGCACAGCCACTAGGAAAAGCCAAACCACATGCCTTTACAATTAAGGTCTATCAGATCCGAGCAACCCTGTGTTTAAAACAGCATGCATGTAAAAYGTTAGCACACTTGGCCATTACTGCAGTCTGGAGGTTTTTGTGGTCCCAGTGTCTGCACGGCAGGCACACCAGGCAGTGCTGATGGTCACCACTCTGCCGTCTTCCCAACTCCACTGGCAGGGACAGTACCTTGGCAGTCAGAACCAGCAGCCATTGAGTATTTACACCACAGAAATCGGCAGGCACCACCCATCAGGGCCTGAYGGATTGTGTCGTAGATTGTCCAGATGTGATTCAGACAGTAATGGGGGGAAAATGCTCATTGTGAAGGTTCACCTTAAAATTGTGTCACACCTGAAGCCATCATATCATGAACAGTGTGAAAAAAATCGAGGATCTGTTCTTTATATTTGAAAACCATTATCTGATTCAGCCAGCTTGCTCACATGAAGTTCAAGCATATGTCTTTGTTGTTGCATTTCATCTTGTTCACGTAAACAAAACTATCAACCAGCATTCACGCTGGAACAGCTCTCCTCGGCTGTGGATACCAGAGCAAAGATGGGTGGAAAGCATTTGGTGAGGAGCAGCAGTTGGCCGTGTGGAATTTGCAGGAAGGAGTCTCGTGGATTCTTGTTTGAGAACAGTGCTGTGCCTCCTTGATATCGGGGAGCTCTGGGACGAACCTGGGTACCCACATAAATGCACGCACTTCCGCCTCAGAGAGCCCTTTGCCGCTGCGGAGGGGACAGCGTGTGCAGGGGCAGCAGAGCCGAGAGCTGGTGTCATGAGTTACAGGGGACAAGTGTGGCTTGAGGCTCAGTTTCTCAAGAGCCTCCTTCRGGGAAGCTTCCTCCAGTCCCTGGGCTGGGTCCAGTGCCCTCTCTATCCCCACATCCCCTTTGTCACTTACCCTTCACTGTAGCACATGTCACAGGAGAGAAGTGKCACAGCAGTGCTAAGCACCTTCCAGGAAGCCAGACCACAGGGGACCAGCCGTACGACCGTAGTCAAGATCTGGTTCCCAGCCTCTCTGGGCCTCGCCTCCCTGTCCTCCTCTGGGAACGGGGACGGCAGTAGAGTCCACCTCGAGGTCGGGAGGCTTGAGAGCCCATGGACCGTCCACGTGTAGGGTGCCCAATGACAAGAACCGTCACGAGGGTGACAGCGGTCATGCCCGTCGTTTTCTCTTCCCAGCCACCCTGGGCACTCTCTGTGGGGACCCCCCATCCTTGCCCACCCCGCAGGCATCTCTTCCGACTCACCCACTGCCTCAGGACCTTTGCACCTATCAGGCCCTCTCCCTGGATGCTGCCTCCTGGTCTTCCCCTAGAGACCTGCAGAGTGTACCCCTTGTGCTGCTCAAGTGTCTCTTGATAAGGGAGGCCTTCCCCAGCGGCCCTCCGTGGAACAGCACCCTCTGTCCCTTCATCCACCCTCACCCTGCTCTCTGCTTCCCCTCTCCCTGGGCCATCAGCCTGCGTGGCGTCTGTTCTGGCTGAGCCTCCAGGTGCCTGGTGTGGGGACTCTGCGTGGCCTGTCTCCTCAGCACCCAGACCTGGTCTGGGCCTTTATTCTGCCTGTTCCGATACCCAGCACCTTCCCTGGCCTGTCCCCTGTCTTGCTGGTCCTCTCTGCTGTGTTCTTCAGACCTCCGCACACTTAAGCCAGCCCCCACGTTGGTCTGGAGCTTGCCTGCTGCTCTCTTGGGTTCTTCTTAGACTCTCTGGCCTTGGCGTGTTGTCCTTGGCTGTGTGTCATTGTCATTCTCTYACACGAGGAGGCGGGGCTTAGTCCCAGCTGTGGGGGGAGCGCTCTGCGGCCTGGTGGGGGCGCTGCAGTGTGGTCTTCTCAGCCTCTTCCCAGGGTTGGCCCCTGGTGGGGGCCGTGGCCAGCAGGTGGCTCAGGTCCCACTGCCGTCCTCCCGTGCAGGAACACACTCAGATCTATGCTGCTGTTTCTTGTTGACTTTCAGGGGTCGGCTTTCATTTGAAATAAGATGACACTGTGCCGGAGTTGGAAGACCAATCTTGATATGTTTTACCAAATTCTAAAATCCATTATTTTTGTTTCTTTCTCATCTTGCCTGCTTGAAGATGAACTGACTGGAATCCTTAAGAAACTGTCACTTGAGAAATACCAGCCTATTTTTGAAGAACAGGAGGTAAGAGTGTTCCTTTCGGATGTCCGTTTACATCTTAGTGTTGGGGAAAACAAAATAAATCTTTGTCTAAGTGTCTAGTTCTCCTTCAATCCTGGATCGATCCTCTCCACCGAGACAGCCCCGGACATGGAAGTCGGGTCCAACCCCCTAGTCCAGTTCACCGTCACCCTGAAATCCTGGGGCTGCCACACTGCAGTCGGATTTTGTAATCTGAGTGCTGCTCTCTCTAGAAATGTCTGTCCTGAAAACATTTTAGTGGCACAGGACTGAGGAGCAGGCACATAGTTTTAAAGTAGACCATAAGCGAATCCTGAGGAATCTGCCAGAAGCATCCGGACCTGGGGCCTGCGGTGATCTCAGAGTTCATATTAGCTTAAAAGCATGAAAATCCCATTTTTAAAAATGACTGCTCTGCTGTCTGGCAGGGCTTCAAAACGTTAAGCACAGAGTTATGGTATGACCTGACAAATCCACTCCTGGGTATGTCCCCCAGGGAGACAAAGGCACAGGTCCCCAGATGTCCGAGGCAGCCTTATAATGGCCCGAAAGTGGAGACAACTCAAATCTCCCATCACCTGAGGACGGATAAGGAAAATGTGGTCCCACTCTAGTGAAGTATTTGTCAACCATAAAAATGTCACAGGCCACAGCATGGGGAGTTGAAAGCATCATGTTCAGTGAGAGAGACCACTCACTGCTGGGCGCGGTGGCGCTCGCCTGTAATCCCAGTGGCCTGGGAGGCTGCGGCAGGAGGATCGTGAGTTCAAAACCAGCCTCAGCAATTTATCCAGGCTCTAAGCAACCCAGTGAGACCCTGTCTCTAAATAAAAYATATAAAAATAGGGCTGGGGATGTGGCTCAGTGCTTAAGCACCCCTGGGTTCAATCCCCAGTACCAAAACAAAAACAAAACAAAAAACAAATGAACAAAACCGTCACCAAAGGCCATGTCTGGTGTGGTCCCATTTACRAAGCGCCCAGAGCAGGCCAACCTGCAGAATAGAGCAGTGGTTGCCAGGGGCTGGGAGGCGGGGATGCTTGGGGTCCAGGGTGACAGAAATGATCTACAGCTGACTATGGCCATAGCTGCATCGCTAAAGGTCACTAAATTATATACTTTAAGTGGGTGAGTTACGTGATGGGTGAATTCTATTTCAATAAACTGTTGAAAAGTTTACTATTTTAGCCCAATAAGACTCTTCTGCAGGCCCACCGGCCACCCGGTCGTAATCCCTGGCTCAGAAAGTTCTGGTGCCCAGGGCAGCACATGGGAATCATCGTCCTTACAGTGCCCATTGTGACAGCCACTCATTGTCCCCAGAAAGGTCCAGACACAGCGAGGTGTTTGGGTTTTGGTTAACAGGTAGCCGGTGCAGGGTGCCCCTCCTCGGTTTGCCTTCCGGCTGCATCCCGCCTGCCATTGCCGCCTCCTCGGCCTCTGAGACCTCAGTGACTTTTCTCACTTCCAAGAAGTCTTTCCTGGTGCCCGGGGCTGCCTGCTTTTGCTTGAAATGCTCCGTGTCTTCTCGGCGTGTGCCGGGCACACACCCCGCGCACGCTTCCGTCTCTTGAGGTGCTCGACTCGGCTTTGTGAGGCGACGCTTGTGATTTCGTGGCTTCATCCCCATTTCTCCAGCTGGCATGTTGGGGATCGCCTGTCACTCATCATTCAGGGGCATCATGCATGTCCAGGGCAGGGCATGGGGCTGAGTCCCACTGAGATAGGAAGCTCTCAGAGGTGGACGGGGCGGGGGGGGGGGAAAGGGCAGGCGGACCTCTGGAGATTCCTGTGCCTGCTGGGCCAGCGTCAGGTTGGCTGGGACCTTGCCCCGTCTCCCCGACCCGGGCTGCCCTGCCCTTCTCAGGAGCCACACTCAGCTGTCGGCTCTGACTCGGCTTCTCTCTGGGCAGTTGAGCTGGTTCGCACTCGCCTCTGTGCAGAACCACAGCCAACATTTCCCTTGGAGGCTGCAGTTGTCCCTCGCCTCCTCCTTGTCCCTCACCCTCACCTCCAGCCCACTCCCCACAGCTACACGGACACTTCTTGTCCCTTGAAGTGAATTATCAGGGACAGCACTTTTCCCTGGTTCCTCGCGCTGGTGAGGATTTCTCCCTGTTGTTACGTACATAAGCTCATCAGTGAGAATTTGGAAAAGAAATTAGGTGACACGTGTTCTCGTCAGAATRAGACTGAAGACGGTAATTTTCACTTTCCTACCTGTATCAGGATGAATTTGATTTGGTTACGTGTATTCAAAAAATATTGGTATCTTCACAAAATAAGAGTTATTTCTGCTRCAAAAAAAAAGTTGGGAGGTACGTCATCTAGGATCCTCCTAGCTCTCTGCTCCACACGCTGAGGTATCTGGCTGTTGTCCCCAGAGCTCAAAGTGGCTCTTAGAACTCCAGCCATCACATCCACATCCCATATGTAGGATGGGACCTATAGGATTGACTTTACGTGGGGGTGGAGACCTGTTCTCTGTCCCCTGTTTCTGAGGCTCCACTGTTYCAAATACAGGGGTGCTTGTTTCTGCCGAACCATAGAAACYGGGGACTGTGCAGTTTTGAGGCGCTCTTGTGGCATCTCTCCCTTGGTTCCGTGGCCTTCTCTATTGCTCCTGCTTATTATTCTGTCTTTCCACAGTCTGCACCCCTCTTGTCCTCCAGGGGGAAGCGGGGTRAGTAATGCCCACCACATTCCTCTCGCAGCCACCTCGGAATCCCCTTCTAACAGCAGGACCTGGCGCAGACAGACCTTGCAGGCTGCCCAGGTCCYGCCTCAAAGATGCTCCTTGGTTTTCCAAAAATCTGTCTGTTTGGAGAAGCCAGGAGCTGAAGGGGGTTGGCTTCTAATGTTTCCAACCAAACTTTAAACGTGAAGTCCAGAATTGGAGGCAGGGAGTCAGGATCGATTCCCCACTAATAAGCACTAATAGCTCTCMATGGTGACGTTCCTGTTGAAGTTGGAGAACAGTGTGGCCCCAACAGACGGCAGCGAAGCCCCTTCTCTTCCCAGGTGGACATGGAAGCGTTCCTCACGCTCACCGAYGGCGACCTGCAGGAGCTCGGCATTAAGACAGATGGATCCCGGCARCAGATTTTGGCAGCCATCTCTGAGCTGAATGCAGGCAAGGTATTGTTCCCAGTCTCATTTCTCTCTTGTTCCAGGCTTCCGGGGGCTTCAGAGGGCTTCCTGGGACCTTCTTGGTCTCATTTTGGCTCCCCTGGCATATCTGACGGAGGCTGGCCCCACTTGCACAAGTCCCCAATCTCCCAGGGTGGCCTCCTCCCTTTCCTACCTGTGAGGTTGTTGCTCCTCAGATTCAGCTAAAACATTCCCTTGAGTAACCAGCCCAGTGGTGCAYGCCTRTAATTCCAGGAGCCGAGGAGGCTGAGGCAGGAGGATCGCAAGTTCAAAGCCAGCCTCAGCAATGGAGAGGCACTAAGCAACTCAGTGAGAGCCTGCCTCTAAATAAAATAGAAGACAGGGCTGGGATGTRKCTCAGTGGTCGAGTGCCCCTGAGTTCARTCCCTGGTGCCCACCCCCCTAAATACTGATATTCCCTTAGGTGACTTCCGCCCCCAGGAGCAGGTGTGGCCTCAGGAGCAGTTCAGGGGAGCCTTGGCTCACACAGTCCTGAGCCCGCCTGACCTGGCCTGGAATCCTGCTCTGAGCACACTCGGCTCTGAGCCTCACTGTCCCCATCTCTCGGGGTCCATAGGACAGGCGTGATGGGGTTGTCACGACAACCAGAAAGCCCAGCAGGACGCCTGGCACACAGAGCTGTCCATCACGGCTGTTGATATCGATCCCCCTCAAGTTTCTGTCTCATCCCCTTTAAAGCTGAGGATCAGTGGCGCCCCCACACCCCGAMCAGAGGCCCACAGAAACCCAAAACAAAGGGGCCCCAAACTCAAGACCAAAAGGGTGGATCCCGCTCCTTTGTGAACATCCATGTGGGTGCTGCTGGGCTCCTGGCCGTGGCCTGTCCCCTCCCAGTGAGTCGCTGCTCACAGTGGCTTTCCCACGCTCGCCCTGCCAGCTGCCTGCCTGTGGGACGGCAGGGCCGTGGCTGCGGCTTTGCCGGCCTCCGTGTGCYGCCGTGGACATCTCTGCCTCGTGCCTTTCTGCCTTTCCCTCCCCGTTGTCCTGGGGCTGTGCTCCCTGCTCTAGGTCKGGGCAGAGAGCGTGATGGTTCTTTCCGTGTTTTGCTGGATTAAGCAGGAAACATTGAAGGGACGTCCTGCCCTGGCTGCAGGTGAATCTTCATGTAGCCCTTTATCCTGTACAGATCACTCGCGTCCTCAGCGGCCCTCGCCATAGCGCCCAGCCCACCCCCCCACCTCCCCCCACCCTGTGTCCCCTGGTGAAGCGCCATCTGGGCAGGGCTGGGTGCTGCCCACTCGTGTGCCAGTGGCCAGTGGAGGACAGAGCCTGCACCTGTCTCTGGCCTCTGGCTGCCACCCTTTCTGCTCCCTCCCAGCCCTACCCGGGCTGCCGTGGTTGTGACTGTTGTTATTGTGACCTGCCTGCAGGTGATGGGGTGACCCTTGAGGGTGATCTAGTGAACTCACTCGGGCATTCGCAAGGCTGGGGCTGTGCCTTCTGTTTGGTACCAGGGATTGAGCCCAGGGGTGCTTAACCACTGAGCCACATCCCCAGCCCTTTTTTATATTTTATTTAGAGACAGGCTCTTGCCGAGTTGCTTAGGGCCTCACTAAGTTGCAGAGGCTGGCTCTGAACTCGAGATCCTCCTGCTTCAGCCTCCCCAGCCGCTGGGATCACACCCAGCACCCAGAGGGGTGTTCCTCTTTGACTGTTTGTTCTTTCTCTTCTGAGCAGTCCTCACCTGGGCCCGGACAGCTCACTTTACAGGTAGGAAGGCCAAGGGTCAGAGATGGGCAGTGAGCCGACTTCAGACCCGTCGGTTTCTGCTCCACTCCTGGATGGGGAGGCCAGAGGAAGGTGAGGCAGTGCAGAGGTTGCTGCAGGTGGGCAGCTCTCTGCTGTCAGGAAGTGCATCAGCCAGCCACCTGAACCCCAGGTGGCTCACAGGGGGCGGTCAGCCAGGCACGGAAGTTTTGGAGCATGGATTTATTCGGGGAAAGAGCCCTGCCTGGCCCGGGTCTGTTGAGAGCAGAACTGCAGGAGTAGTGTGGTGCCGTGCCCGGGGCCCAGGGCACACTCACTCACGTGAGGCCATGGAAGCTGCTGAGGCTGGTTCCAAAGCAGCTTTGGAAATCAAAGCACAGAGAGATGGAGGAACTTGCCCAGGGTCACACAGGCCAGGATTGGAAACAGTTTGTGTCTGCCCATGTGTGCACACAGCCCTGCCATAGCTACCGCAGGCACACAAAGGAGAGCGTTCATTGCTGTGGGAGCTCTCGACTCTGTGGGGACTGGGAAGGCGGAGGCTGGGGAGACATTCTGAGGAGAGAGCAGAGGCTGAGACCTGAAAGAGGAGCTAGAGCCCTATGGGGCCCAAGGGCAGAGCAGACCAGGCTGAGGAGCACCTGTGCAAAGGCCCTGTGGTGGGAGGGTGTGGCACCTTCGAGGAACTCACAGAACAGTTGGAGCACAGAGAGCAAGTGGGCCAGAGGGTGCCGGGGGAGCCCTGAGCTTCAGATCCCTCTGCAGGGTTTTGTGCCAGATTCTTTTTTTATTTTAATGTGACTGAGATAAATTGGGATCTTCAATTTTACACCCTTCTTTCTTTAACAAGAAATCTACGCAGCTACCCGTGTCACTGATCTCTTTAATGTATTTGCCTGGATGCACTCAAATTGATTTTGTTTTCAAAAATCCTTCCTGATTGGGTATGTAAATACCCAAACTTTGTAGAAATAGTGCTGCAGGGGACAGCTCTGGGCATAAGACTTTCTGAAGATCTCCCTGGAGTAGCCTTAGAACAGATCCCTGAGCCTGAGAGCCTCGCTGTGTGCAYTTCTCCCTGAACTTCTTTCCAGAAAGCCCCTGGCCGTGGTGTGGGGGTGKGCTCTCCTGCAGTCCCACCAGCATTGAGAACGGCAGTTTGTTTTCAATCATTATAAATTTGACAAACTCAACAAGGTACCTCGTTTTCATTTGCATTTCTTTAAGTACTAGGTTGATTGAATCCTTTTTTCTATATTTAATGGCCTTCGTTTGGGAGGGGGGTTTGTTTTATTTTCCTTTTGAGAATTTTCAGGCAGGGCCTTTGGAATCAGGGATTTTTTTTAAAGGGAAGTTATCCGATCATCTCGGGTTGGCCTTGGACGCGGAGTGATTATGGTCTTTATTATCTACAGCTCCCTCCTGGGGTCAGGAGGCAGTGGGCAGGGAACCCGTCTCGCCCTGACCTCATTTCTCAGCAGTTATGGCTCAGGTGGCGAATAATGAAGCTCTCGCTGTCCCTGCTTCCCAGCCCTGTTCATGATCTCAGGTGGCACTTCATAGTCTCCCYGGAGGTTGCGCTCACCCCATTTTGCAGATATTCAGTGGAACAGGGGCGGGTCTGGGTGCCACTGTGCGTCACTGGTGRGTGGGGATTCCAGGCCTGCCCACGGCGCCCTGCAGCCTGCAGATGTCTGTGGCTGGAATCCTGGCACCTTTATCAGCTTATTGAAGGTGATCTGCCAGGATCAGGGCACRTGGGCAGAAGCTTGCCGCCCTCCCAGGGGCGTGGGAGGCCCGGCCACCACAACAGGTCCCTGCACAGGGGTCTGGAGAGGGGGCCCTCTAGGCTGTGGGGAGGGTATGAAAAAAAAAAAAGCCAGATGCAGTGGCACACGCCTGTAATCCCAGCAGCTCGGGAGGCTGAGGAAGGAGGACGGCGAGTTCAAAGCCAGCCTCAGCAATGGCGAAGTGCTAAGCAACTCAGTGACACTCTGTCTCTAAATAAAATACAAAATAGGGCTGGGGATGTGGCTCAGTGGTTGAGTGCCCCTGAGTTCAATCCATGGTACCCTCCACCAAAAAACAGAATGAAATTTTTWAAAAAAATTGGTTTTTTTTTTTGAGTTTTGTAATTTTGTCTTTTTTAAAAATTGATTTTATTTCTTTAAATATACGACAGTGGTATGCATTATAATTCTTAATACACATTTTGTCTTTTTTGTTTATTCTTTTTAGTTGTACGTGACAGTAGAGTGTGCTTTGACACATCATACATACATGGAGTATAACTTCCCATTTCTGTGGTTGCACATGATGTGGATTTACACTGGTCATGTATTCGTATATAAGCATAGGAAAGTTATGTCCAGTTTATTCTGCTGTCTTTCTCATTCCCATCTTTCACACCCCACCTACTGTGAGTCAGCATCCTCGAGTCAGAGAAAACATTCAGCCTTTGTTTTTTGGGGATTGGCTTATTTCACTTAGCATGATAGTTTCCAGTTCCATCCATTTACTTGCAAATGGCATAATTTCACAAATACTCCATTGTGTATTTGTACCCCATTTTATTTATCCATTTATCTGTTGAAGGGTTCCTAGGTTGGTCCCATAGCTTAGCTCTCGTGAATTGAGCTGCTGTAAACATTGGTATGGCTGCGTCACTGTAGTGTGCCGATTTGAAGTCCTTTGGGTATATACCGAGGAGTAGAGTAACTGTGATGGATCCATTCCAAGTTTAAAGTCTGGGCTCATTCTGTGGACTTTAAAATTTATTTTGCCTTTTTACTCTCAGCTGAGATCATACATTTTTAATTTGCTTTGTGTTTCCACCATATTTATTTGTTGACTTAGAAATCTATGCTGACTCCACCCTGCTGCCTTCCAGGGGCAGGACCTGCCTGTCTCCTCAGCCCACACAGGTCCCACGTCCATAGCACCCATCTGGGTCACTGATAGGGTCCCATTTTATAAATGGGGAAACCAAGGTCCAGAGGGATGGGGTGTCCTGCTCAGGGTCACCGGGTAGTAATGGGAGAGGTGGGATGTGAACCTTCTCCACCTCTGGCTCCTGCTGCCTCTTGTCCTGGAGTTCAGTGGACTTAACTAGAAGCGTCCACATCTGTTTCCTGGGGGTAGGAGACTGTGGTAGTGCTGCCGTCGAACTCTCTGGAAAGACACAGAGACAGGCAGGGAGACAACCCCCCAGACAAGCTGGCCCTACCCAGCCTTGTTGGGGGCTAAGGACCCCTGCACCCTGGGTTCTCTCCAGCCCTGGCAGCGGGGAAGTGGCGCGGGGAGAGCCTGGCTTGGCCTGTTTTTTACTCAGCGTGGGACTCTCTTAATTAGGTAATTTATGTCCCCCAAGACGCCCCGGGGGCTTTTCAGGTATGAGCGGAGCATTAGCCACACTGTGTCACTGAATCCTTGGTTAAAAGAGTTAACGTGTCTGTTTCCATCCCCTCCACAGGGACGCGAGAGGCAGATCTTGCAGGAGACCATTCACAACTTCCACTCTTCCTTTGAGAGCAGCGCCAGCAACACCAGGGCCCCCGGCAGCAGCCCCTGTACGTGACTCACACTCCCTGTCGCTCCTTGCCCTGGCAGTGCCGTGAGCCCTCTGTGCCCTGGGACCCCTGCACGAGGCCAGGGCCCTGCTTCCAGCAGCTGCCCTGTCTCCACTGAGCCCTGTCCCCTCTCTCCCTCTGTGAGACGTCCCTCCCCGGCCCCTGCTCACTGGTCAGGATGCCCCTTGCTGTGAGAGCTTCCCCCACACACATCTACTGTCCTGTGAGAAAGGGACCGTCCAGTTGTGTGCTTCTGTAGGCACRAGGCTTCACTTGGTGGCTCAGAGACCCAGCTCCTTTCATTGGTGCCCTGCCATCCCTGGGAGCAGAGGCCCTGCTTCTGGCTGCCACAGAGGGACTGGGATGGTGGTGACAGGCAGATGGCACAGCCTGCGTGCCCCTGCCTTGGTCATTCCTGCTCATTCCCCTGGCCCTGGTCAGCACATGGTCCCACTGGCATGCAGAGGAGGCTGGGGGACATAGCTCCAATGGCTTCCCGGCAGCACTGGGCTCTGGGAAGTGGGCATTAGAGCCTCCACCTCGTCCTTCCTAAGGGACGCCTTTCTCGACACCCTCACGCCCACAGAGCCACTCCTGCTGCTGCTGGGGTCCCTGTGCATGGAGTGTCCCTGCTCTCCCTGGCGACAGCATGCCACGGGCATTCAGAGGTCCACGTCCAGCGCAGATTCTCCAGCACAGAGGCAGCGCTCCTGGGTGGGGAGGAGGCTTGGTGCCCATCCCTCCTTGTCTGGCCTTGGCCAGGACAGGCTTGGGATGCACCTGGCCGCCTGCGTCACACAGGACAGTCCACTTGCACATAGAGACAGGAGATGGAGGTGTCACCTTGTGGAGGGGCTTTGGGACTCCAATTTTCTAGGCAAAGGTGTGAAGAATCTGAAATTTCTTCTACACCCTGTTAATGCTGTTTCCCAAAAGTGGATTGGCTCACGTGTTTTTCTACCATGTCATATTTTGACTACAAAAATCCAGTCACTAGATTATACGCCAGGTGCCAGGTATGCAGAGACCAGCCAGGGCCTTCCACCCTGGCGGATCTTGACAGGCAGGAGGCCTCTCAACGCTGGGCCCCGGCTTTCCAGGAAGCAGGTAGAGAGGAAAGAGCTTGTGCTAGGGCTCAGGGTCAGGATCACACCCAGCTATGCCCTGGCCTAGTATGGCAGGGACAGGTCATTTGGCCTCTGGGCCAGAGCTCAGACCCCAGTGCATAAAGTACTTGGTTCACAGAGTTCTGATGCTTACCATGAGCTGTGCCAGGCCATCTGTCACCTGTCCCTCCTCTGGCCCTCACAGCCCAACCCCCCATGCTGTCTTTTGGAGGCATTTGTCACCACACTGCCCAGAGCCTCGTGATTCTCCCCTCTGCCTGACCATCTGCCGAGTGTCCTCAGCCCCCACCTCAGAAGCCCCCTTTCCATGGGAACGAAGACAAAACATCTTGTTTCAGCCACTCAGACAGCTGTATGGAGGGTCCTGTAAGGGGGACATGCTTATTGAGACCTGTCGTGTGCCCAAGCTTCTCTGCATTGTCATTTGTCCTCACTGCCACCCCAGAGGTGGCCTTGTTCAAACCCCTTCTGAACATGGGGATGCAGATTCAGAAGGAAGGAAGCTGCTCTTGTCACCTGCTGTAGAAGGAGGACCTGGCGGGCCTCCCCCTCACTCCTGTAGACTCTCAGACTAGACACACTGGTGACTGGCTGGCGTCTTCAGGGTCACCGCAGGCCCAGGGCTGTTTACCCACAGTGACGTGCCTTGAGGCCTCGCAGCTCCTCTTGCTGTGGGACTTCTTTTCTGTCACCCACGTACTGATGCAGAGTCACTCAGGTGAGTTTGGTGGAGCACCTGTGAAGCACAGGAGTGCAGCTGGGTCACCTTCTCAGAGGCACACCTCGCCCTGATCTGCTGACCCTGGACAGAGCAGGGCTGGCCACCCCCCACCCCCCAGCACATGGAAGTTGAGGCTCCGGGTGGCTCGTGTCTCGTCGGCGCCACTGGACTCAAGGTTTTCCTCCCAGACGGTTTGTGTCCTGGTGGGGAGAGACCCCGGTCCCCCTGYCTGGGCCCTCCTCCCTCACAGTGGTCCAGCCGCCTCCAGGAGGCTGTTCCCCTCCCCGGGACCTTCACCAGTGTTTCCCAAAGTATGCTCCTTGGGGCATCAGCGTGGCGGGATGTCAGTGGGTTCTTTGTGAAGAGAGATGAAGGGGACGTGCGTGTGCCCCAGCAGGTGGGGTTCAAGTGCAGCTGCTCTGCCTGCAGCATACTAGGCCTCCAACAGGTCACTAGCTCATGGCCTTCTCCACGCTTCTCCAGGTACCCTTGGGCAGCACTGGGGAAGCCCTGGGCACGCAGGGCCTCAGCCAGGTCGGGGTCCCTGGGAACCACCTCTCCTCTCCACAGATGTGGCCTGTGGTGGTGGGACACCAGGGTGAGGGAGTCTCCTGCCTTTGAGCAAGTGGGGGCCCTGCTCAGAGGGCTTCTGTCCTAGGGTCTCCCCTAGAGTGGAGCGCGTCCTGCTGGCAGGTGCTGGGTGTCTGAGGCCCTGCTGGCCAGAGGAAGGCTCCCGCCACTTCAGGTCCTGCAGGAAGTTGGCCTTGCCATTCATTCACAGGAAGTTAACTGAGCATCTACCCTGGGCCAGCCCTAGGCTCGTGCTCTGGATCCATAGAGGAAGACTCCTCTCGGCCCTCAGAGAGCTGCAGTGCTTGAGAGGAGCCAAGCGCAGGAGCAGAACTGTTAGGGCCCTCACAGGAGCCGAGTGACAATGGTGTTTGCAGTTCATGGCACAAAGACAGCCCTCTCTGAAGGGCCCAAGCTCGACCTGGGCAGGCCCTGGGCCGGGAGCTGGAGCTGGTCCTGTAGGGCAGTTCTGGGCACAGCAGCAGGCAGGGAGGGGAATTGGCATCCTAAGCCAGGGACAGTGCTGCACAGACGGCAGACACCTGTGTGGGTGACGTATTGTCAGGGAGCGGGGTAAGTGAGGTATTTGTCTTTCTGATTTTCGGTCCTTTGGTACATGTAGAAGCAAAGCATTATTCTGGGAAGAACTGATGCAGAGGCAGACCTAGCCCTGGCTTGGCTCAGCCATTTCTCATTGGCTATTCAGGCATTTTTCTCCATCTCATTGAGTCTCAGTTTGCATTTTGGTTACCAGGGTCTAGGCTGTCCCCAGGGGGCTGGGAATCAGAGAAGGTGAGAAAACCCTTTTCACGCGGGAGCTGTGCAGACACGAGGAAGCTCCAAGATGGTTGCACATTTTCATCTTCCTTCTTCTCTCTTCCTCTCCTCCTCTCCCTCCTTCCCCCTGACCCCTTTCTTCCCTCCCACCTGTCCCTATACAGCCGTAGCTGGGTGGGTGAGACCAGAGGAAGCAACCTCCAGCAAGAGGTAGCAGCAGCTTTGATGGCTCTGCTGGCATCAGAGCCCCAAGGAGTGGAGAGTTGTCCGGTGGATCCCTGCCCTCCGGCTGGTGCCTATGTCACTGGGATTCCTGGCAAGGTGGACAGAAAGAAGGAAGGCTGGCCCAGTCATCGGAGCCGATCCAGCAGGCAGAGAGGGAACCTCATGATTGCTCCTGCYGTAGAGACACCTGAAGACATGGTGTAGGCCGGGCCCACAGCTGGACGGCTGTGGACATCCACCCTGAGCTGTGCACCCAAGTAAGCGCCACCTGAGGGGCCCTTCCTGAAAAGACTCTGCAGGCCAGATGAAGGTGACATCTGCAGAAGGTGGAGCAGCCTCCCGTGGCCACCCTTGTGCATTCGAAGCAAGTTAATCGTATCTTATTAACCCGCGGGTCCTGCTCGACCTGTAAAGAGACCTGGTGYTTCCCTAATAAAGTTGACACCCATTCCACAGGCCTGGCTCGGGCGGTGAGCTCCTCCCAGGTGAGTGGGGGGTGGTCCCCGGCCCTTGAGAGTTCTGCACTTGATGGTGTTTCTTGAGGGCTCACCGGGCCCCCTGCTGGCCTCAAGGTGCTCTGCTCCTCTTAAGAGTGGACTTTGGCCCACCTTCCCTTCAGCTCCTCGGCTGAGAGGCCAAATGGATGGTGGGCCACAGAGCTTGGGGATGACAGAGGGGAAATAGGTGAAGAACCCGCAGGGTGAGCACAGGACGCCAGTGTCTTCAGGTGACCCTCGCCCCCCAGCTGGGCTGGCTTCCYGAGGCCACAGGTGCCCATATCCTGTTGGACCTCAGGAGCCTTCTCACCAGGGCTGATGGACACAGGGCCAGAATGCCATTGGGGTGGGGGGGGCTAGAATAGGTTCCCATCTTCCTCATGTCAAACGTTTCTTATTATATTGTTATTTCCATGTAGGATTTTGAAAGGTTTTCCTCTGCCAAACTGTGAATGTTAAATAAGGGTGGCTTGTCTTCCGCCTTTGTGCACGTGAGAGGTATAAACGCGGCTCAAGAGTTCTCCCAGCAGTAGCTGTTAGGGAGCCAGCCCCCGGGTGGCCAGGAGCTGCTGGGAACCGCCGTGCCTGGTCCTCACAGGAACCCCCTGTGACTTACAGCTCCCCTCTTTTCAATTTGAGGCTCCAGAGGACACTGAGAGCCACCAGCCTCACCCAGGACAAGCACAGCTAACAAGGGACACTTTGGTTTGAGTGCGAGTCTCCCCTCCAAGTTCACCGAGTCTTCGTGGGTCTCAGTACTCCTAATGTGCCCAGCCCCGAGGAGCATCAGGAAAGCAGGGTGGGGTCTGGGGGAGGGGGCGTGGGGCCCTGGGCCCCAGAGGTCAGAGCAAGGGAACTGGGAGGCTGTGGGCAAGAGGCCAGCTGCCCAAGAACACTCCAAGGACCAGAGMTGCTGGCGGGAGGCGTCCCCCAGGTGGTGCCAGAGTCCAGGAGCCTAGGCCAGGGTGGCCCGAGAGGAAGCAGGAGATGTGGGCGAGGAGTGGAGCAGGCAAGCGGCTCCACACACCACTGCAGGTGGAGTGAGGGCGGCGGTGAGCTTTCCTGACACCTTTCCTGACACTGAGTACAAGGGTGGCCTRAGGCCTTGATCCTGATGACCTTTCTTGTTGGGCAGGGGCAGGGGCAGGGGGCAGTGACGGGAGTTTCAGTTTCACAGATGTGTGAAGTTGAAGTCAGAGAAGCACTTCTGGGTGAATGTTGAGGTCCCGTCCAACCTCTTGACTGTAGAAAAGCTGTCATGGGAAGGGGAGTGGTTCTTCAATAAGTTAAACAGAAGCCAGCAGCTCCCCTCTCCAGTGTATGCTGCAAAGACATGCAAATCGGTATGCAAACAAGGACTCGTCTGTGAATGTTGATGGCATAGTTCACAGTCGGCAAAAGGTGCAGACAACTCCTATCCATCAATGGATGAATGGACAAACAGGTGGTCTGTCTACAGAATGGAGCATTATTTAGCCCCCCCCAAAAAAAAAAAAAAACGAATGATATAGGGGCTGGGGCTGTAGCTCAGTGGTAGAGTCCTGCCTAGAATGTGGGATGCACTGGGTTCAATCCTCACCACAACATAAAATAAATAAATAAAGATATTGTGTCCGTCTACTACTGAAAAAAAAAAAAAAAAAGGGATGAAACACTGGTCACATGCCACAGCCTGGATGAACCTTGAGAACCTAAGCAGAAGAGGTCAGCCACARAGATCTTCATATTATGTGACTCCATTGATGTGGGATATGCAGAATAGGAGACTCCTCCAAGGTAGAAAGCAGACGCAGGCTGTCACCAGCTGAGGGCCAGGAGAATGGGGAGTGACTGCTAATGTGCGCGTTTCCTTGAGGGTAAAGAAAATTCTAGAATTAGATAACGGTGATGACTGGACAACAGCAGGGATGAACTGAAAGCTTCTTACTGTAGACGTCACAGTGATCATGAARCTTCGTGTCCCAGGGGTGTCACCACAGTAGAGCAGACCTGGAAGGTCACCGGAGGACATGGCCAGCCTTGCACCCTCAGCCTTGCTCACCTAACTCGTCAGYGGAAGGGCTTGTGCCTGTTCTCGGTGGTCCTCTCCTTCCTGTCCAGTGCCCCCTCTGGTCTCAAGTCAGTGTCCCCGGTTAATGCTTCACAAGAGCCCTGAATGCGGTGGCCCCGGGTCTAGTGAGGGACGGGCCCTTTGGGATGGAAGGTCTCYGGGGCTTTGGGTCCGCCCGTGCCCTGTGCCCTCTGGCCCCTTCTGCAGGCCGCCTGTCTCTCTGGGCTGTGGAGCCGAGCTGCTCCTTCGCCCACTTGCTGCTCTCAGAATAACTGTCTCCACTTTCTCGCAATGGCAACCTCTCGGGCGGAGGAGAGTTTTCAGCAGCGGCCATGGCAGGGACCCGGGCGGACGGAGGGCAGACAGTTCCACGCTCAGGGGATGGCTGCACTGTCTGCACCCCTGGCCCTGCCCTTGCTCCTTTCCCGAAGCGCCGTCCTGCTGGTCCTCTTCCGCTGAGGTCCGACCTCAGGCCAATCCCTAGGCTGCAGGCTGATCCCCTCGGGGGCCCTTCCAAGGGCCCACTTGTGGTGAGGGTGCCACAAGCTGAGGCCGTGTTCCTGGAGGGGGACCCTGCAGTGCAGAGGGACCTGGCAGTGGGGGCTGCGGATGGCTTTGGGAGCCAGAGGGCCAGGCTGACCCGAGTCCTCACCAGGGGCTGAGGTCAAGGACCTGAGTTGGAGGGACCTGTCCGGGAGTTGACACCCAGGGATGCAGCCATCCTCAGCAGTGGGCCACCATCAAGGCGCAGGAGAGGCCCCAGCAGGTAAAGCCAAGTCCCCACCTTGTGCTCCACGGGCTGGTGTGGGACTAGCCACACGGCTCAGCTTCCTGGGCCCTCTGAAGTCCTGACTCTTTTTTTCTCTCACTGTGCCATCGGGGCCAGGTCGTAGGAACTCCTTGTTATCAGAATGGTGTGACTCCGCACACCACACTGACCGTCCCAGAGTGAGTGGCAGTCAGGGGAGTCAGACCAGGCTGCTGTCCTTCCCCAAGTCTGCACTCCTTTAATTCCGATGTCTGAGGTACCATTGGTGCCACCCAGTGCACAGAGGGGGAAAGTGAGACCCAGGGAAGTTGAGTGACCTGTCTAACGCTACTTAGTGCACCTGATTCAYTCCATGAACCACATTATTATATAAAGAAAAGCAGAGCAAAGAAAGCAAGAGTTGGGTGGGGTCAGGCAAGGGGAGCAGAGGACAGGCCGGTGTTGGAGCTATCATGCACTTCCACAGGTCACTTAGTAGATCTGAGTCACACCAGTTATTTTTGAATAAATTTCAGTTTTACTTTTAAAGAATTGCACAGGCCCTGATCAGCGAGGGTCTTTTGTCATGTAGAGTGTAACAGGGACATTTTTATGTTGAGATCCCATAATCAGGCTCACCTTTCACCAGAGCCCAGTCTGCCTGCCAGAATGTGCCGGCTGGGGGACAGAGGGGCCCTTCTGACAGAGACCTCACACCTGGAAAAATCCTCCAAATGGGCTCCCCGTGGGGCCACTAAGCTTCTTGAGCTTCCTCCTGATGGCTCTCTGCAAGATGAATCATTCATGACCCTCGCTGGGAGCCCTGCGTGGGGGCTCAGGCCTGCAATCCCAACCACTCAGGAACCCGAGGCAGGAGGATCCAAAGTGGGAGGCCAGCCTGAGACCCTGCCCCAAAACACAGAAAGGGCTGGGGATGGAGCTCAGTGGTAGAGCGCTTGCCTGGCCGGTGTGAGGCCTGGGCTCCATCCCCAGCCACACACACACACACACACACACACACACACACACACACACACCTGCTCTGTGTTCTCCTAGCTGCAGCCACACACACACACACACACACACACACACACACACACACACACACCTGCTCCGTGTTCTCCTAGCTGCAGCCTTGCCACTCAATGTATGATCGGTGGATAGTCAGCTTTGGCATGCCCAGGGCATTCGTAAGAAGTGCAGGCCCTCCAAGGCCCCAGGGGAGCCGGGCACGTACCACAGCAGGGTGAGAACCAGTACTTTCATGCATGTGGGCGCTCCGATGCAGTCGCCCCTCCACAGAGGGTTACATGAATAGTTAGGGTGGAACTGAGCCTCAGTCAAGCTTCTCTGGTCTCTGCCACTCTGTTAGTGTTTCCCCTGGTGTCACATGCATATTTATTCAATTTTCTAATCCATCCAGAGGTTCCATTGTTACCACCCATTTTATGGAGGAGGAAAGTAAAGCACAGAGAAGGCAAGTAACTTGCCTGAAGATGCCCTGTATTGATCTAGGTCCAGGGACCCTACGGATTGCTCACCGTGAAGCAATCCTGAGCAGAGTGGACGGTCTGCAGGGGAAGGAGATCCCTATTCATCCTGGTGTAGTGGACCCCACGTGAGGTCCTGAGTCCTAACATGGCTTTGGGTCCTGCGGACACCACTGAGGGCTGAGAGCAGCTTGCCCTGTCCCCGAGGCCCCGTTGTGACCGCAGAGGCTGCTGGCACGGCTGAGGGCTGAGGGGTCGGGAGCTTGGGAGATGGGAGACTGTGAAGTGCTGGCCCTTGTCACTTAGGGGTGCTCTTCTCGAGGGACCCCGATGGGGTGGTGGAAGAGGAAGAAGCTTAAAGAACAGGGAAGTTGCAGTAGGTGGAACTTGAGGGTTGCCATGGGAACCAAGCGCCAAGGCTGATGGAGGCAGGAAATACCATCTGGTTTGAAACACCAAAAAGCCTCCCCTCACACTGGACTTATTTCTGTAAACAGCAGAATTAACATCATCCTCCAGCAGCGACGTCATCCCACAGCAATCTGGAGATTCTTTGTCATTCACCCGATGTCCGTGGTCCTATCTGGACAAAGTCCGTCAGGAACTCCTCATTCATCAGCCCTCGCATCCCAAGAAATGTGGACAAGTCACTCAGGAAA